GTGTGTGTGTGTGTGTGTGTGTGTGTGTGTGTGTGTGTGTGTGTGTGCACTCCCATCTCGTTCTGTCCCGGTGGTTTCTGTTTGGAGGCTGTTCCTTCCTGCTGGTGGCACCGAGATGCTGGGCCAGCTGCCATCTCGGGTTATGGGGTGCAAGATAACTCGGGTCTGGCTGCAGCCAGTGCTCCTGTTACATCCCCAGTGCTCCTCTAAATGCCTGCAGTGTGCCCACAGCTGTGCCCACTCGCATCCAAGCGTGCAGTGGAGGAGGAGAGGCTGATATTGGATGGGTGTGAGAGCCTGTCCTCAGTGCAAGGGGTGGCTGGGGCTGGGAGGCTGCTGCCAACATTCACCTGCCTCTCCTTGGCTCTGTTTCAGAAGGACAAGAGGACACTATCCTGTCATACGAGCCGGTGACACGGCAAGAAAGTAAGTCCTTGTGCTGGGTTGTGGGCATCAAACCCCTTCCCCTATTTACAGCTGTGCTGTGCATGGCTGGCTGGGGTGATCTCCAGCTCAGCAGAGCTGGGTTTGACCCCTGCTGAGGATGGGGTCAGGTGGGGGTTTGGAAAAGGTTCTGCACCATAGGGCAGTGGGATTGGAACAGGCTGCCCAGGGAATGTCACAGCCCTGAGAGCTGGAGTTCAGGGGGTTTCAGATAATGCTTTCAGACACAGAGTTTGGGTTTGAGATGTTGAAGCAGGAGCTGAACTGGTGAGCTCTGTGGATCCCTCCCAACATGGGATATCCAAGGATTCTGTTCTGAGCAGTCTGTCCTCAGCATTCAGACCCCCTCAGCAGTCTGTCCTTGCCAGCATCTGTATCAGTCTCATAGGGCACACAGCCTTGCATGTCTACATATCCTGGTTGTCAGCTCTGTGCCTCGAGCAGCAGAGCAGCTTTGCTCATCTTTGACTTGTGAGATTGTGGCACCTTCCCTGGAGCAGCTCCTGCACCTGGGCCAGCTGCACGCTGCCAGAGGGGATGGAGATGCTGTGATCCACCTGCCTGTGTGCATCACCTGGGTTGGAGGTGGATGATGTTGAACACAACCAGGAGATGAACTTCCACGGAGCTTCCCGGAGCGTGGGCTGATCTGAGCTGTGGCTTTTGTTTGCAGTTCACTACGCCAGGCCAGTGATCATCCTGGGGCCCACGAAGGACCGAATTAACGACGACCTCATCTCTGAATTTCCACACAAGTTTGGTTCCTGCGTGCCACGTGAGTCCCCGCAGAGGGCAGAGCCCTGTGGGTTCGGGTGGGTCGCACCAGGTCCGCTCCTGACGCCTTCTCTCCTCCAGACACCACCAGGCCTCGGCGTGACAATGAGGTGGATGGACAGGATTACCACTTCGTCGTCTCCCGAGAACAGATGGAGAAGGATATTCAGGACAACAAGTTCATAGAGGCCGGGCAGTTTAACGACAATCTCTATGGGACCAGCATTCAGTCGGTGCGGGCGGTCGCAGAGAGGGTGAGTGTCGTTGGCCTTCCCAGGGATGCATTTGCAGTGTCCTTCCTCTCCCCATGCTCCTAACGAAGGGCAGCGACCGTATCCCTATGCAGCCCACATGGCTGCTTTGCTCCACCTCAGTGCTTTGTCTCCTTCAGCCCAACTCCACCCAAACACCAGCACTGGGGCACCAGCTCTGTGTTCAGGAGTTCATGGGGCAAAGGACGCCAGCTGCTCTTGGTGGACCAGTAGTGTTTCCTGCATAAGGATGCACTGATGGCTTGGGAATAGCTTTGTAAGTGTCCAGGGAAAAATTGAGTCCCCTCACCTTGCTGTGGTCCTGCCATAAGCAGACAGGAATGTAAGGGCTGTGGGAGTTGCCTGGTGTCTCAGGAGCAGAGTTTCACCTCAGTGGCTCCTCTCTTTTGTAAGCATGTCCCTGTGAGCAAGCTGTTCTCTGCCCAGAGCAGACTGTGTGGGTAGGTCTGATCCCAATCGTCTCCTTTCCAGGGAAAACACTGCATCCTGGATGTATCTGGCAATGCTATCAAGAGGTTGCAACAAGCACAACTTTACCCCATTGCCATTTTCATCAAACCCAAATCCATCGAAGCGCTCATGTAAGTGCAGCAACGCGTTTTGGGGTGGGTGGTGCTGGAAAGTTGGGCCTTTGTACTTCTGCTGCCTCTGTGCTTCAGAAAGCAGCAGATGTTGCTGGTGATGCTGAACGTTCCCTGTACACTAAAGCTGGGCCCATTCCTGTGTCTCTGGTCTCACAGTTGGACTAATGCTGTGGGTACATCCCATCTCCGTGGATTGTTCTGATTTAAAAACCCTTTATTTGCACCAAAGAGGATTTTCTGTGGCAGCAGAGTAATGCTCCCAAATGTGTCTGATGGACCCTGCTCTGCTGGCCCCAAGGCAGCCAGGAGAGCTGCTGAGAGCCCGCAGTGCTGGAATGGCTGGAGGTGTTTCCTGCAGCCCAACCCGCTGCTCATTGCCCTGGGGAGAACCTGAGTGTGCACATCTTCCAAGCATCAACAGTATTATCTGTGGGGAAGTTCTGTACTTTGAGCTGGACTTTAAGGTCAGAAGGGACACTGCTGGCACCAAGGGGACTGGAAAAACCCTTCCTCAGGCCAGCAGCCTTAGAACTGCTCATTTTGACGTTGTATGAAAATGAAGGAGCCCAGGCAAGGAGAGTGGTGGCAGGATGTGGAAAGGCAGGGGATTTCCCCAGTGGTCCTGCAAACTCAGAGTGCTGCATGGACTTTTCCATGTTCTGGCAACAGAGGGATGGTGGCATGGGCTGTTTTTGGCTTTTGTTCATTGCTGAGTTTCTATTTCTTGTGCACTGCAGGGAGATGAACCGGAGGCAGACATACGAACAGGCCAACAAGGTCTTTGACAAAGCCATGAAACTCGAGCAAGAATTCGGAGAGTATTTTACAGGTGAGCGTCCCGAGTGCATTTGTGTGTGATGGATTGCCTCTTTCCAATTGGCAGCTGTGAGCTCCACCAGCACTGCAGGGTCATGAGAAAATGTCCAGCTCCATCAAAACGAAACGGCGCTCTGCCAGCACGGCCACACAAAGGGCCCATTCAGAGATCACTGGATAAGAGTAAGCCAGGTCTAGAGGAGGGCAGAAGTTGTCAGGCAGGATTTTCCAAGGTTGTGAAAGCCTCACGCTGGCTTCAGTAATAGTAATAAAAATGAAAAACACAAGAGGTAGGAGAAGCACAACGTAGATCAGTGGATAACTGAGAATGAGAGGAGGGTCGTGTTTAAAGAGGAAAGGTCAGAACGAGGGACCCAAATGATGGAGGCTGCCCCGAGTTGTTATGAAACATCTTCCATAAAGGACTGGAAGTTTGGCTGGCTTCCTGAATCTGTGTTGAAGAGCAGTTGAGGGATGGACTCACGACAGAGGCATCCTTGTGTGTTAAGGAACTAACGTTTGCAGTGTGATTAATGCTGGAAAATCATGGGCAGGCAAAGAGGCAGAGCAACTCATCTTCCATCTTTGCCCCCTTTGTGGTAATTGCATCCTCCAAAGCTGAGGAATGGTAATCCTGCTAAATGCTGCATTACTCACCTAACAGCTACTGTAAAAAATCCCAGGCAGAACATTTTCCAAATACGGATCGCAGCTGAGAAAATGCAGCAGCACAAACAGTGTGAGAGCCTTCCCCAGAACTCTGCCTCGGGCAGCGCTTCCAGAGCTGCAGGCTGCTCCTCCAGGAAGAGCAAACACAAAGGAAATGTGCACTGCAGTCCTGCCAAACCCTCAGCACGCCATCGTCAGCCTCACGTGGCCACTGAGGCTTGAGGCTGACCTGGGGAAGGAATGCTCTTGGCTGAAACCCAGCCCGGTTGAAAGGAGTCTGTAATGGGCAGCGAGGTGAATGCTGTAGGAAATGCTGTGCCAGGACCTTACAGTGAGGCACTGGAGCATGGTGCTGGCTTGGCTACAGGCTGAGGGACCAGAGAGCTGTGGTCCGTTTCTTGATGTAGGAGACACGCAGAAGCCTTTTGCGTTGCGTCCATGCTCAGCAGCAAGGTGCTGGGAAAGCACTGCTGCAGGAGCAGCAGCCAGGAGTCTGCTTTTTCCAGCACGGCAGCGCTGTCATGAAGCACAGAAGTAACAATCAGGAGCTCAGCAGGGGAACGGATCTGGGTGGGCGAATCCAGCACGCGAGGGTACGGCGCTTGGCTCCAAGTGGTGGGGAGGGGGGAGGCAGTGACCACGGAGCAGAGCTGGAAGTTCACACCCTGCCCTGGGCCCACTGCCCGCAGCTCAGCGGCGCTGGGACGAGGCTCACAAAGCTGATTAGCAGCGTTGTGCAGAGCCTGGCTGGCACTTCACACACGCCAGCAGCTCTGCTGATCCCCTGGGACGCCCTGCATTAACCCTCTGTGTCACTGCGTGCCCATTCAGCTCCTCCAACGCAGGCTCTGCATTCACTGTTGGCTGTGTGTTATCGGCCCCTTTGCTGCAGCGAAGGTCTTTCCATGCGGGTGGCTTTGCTCAAGGTGTTTTATTTTCTCTCCTCTTTCAGCCATCGTACAAGGAGACTCTCTGGAAGAGATTTACAGCAAAATCAAACAGATCATCGAGGACCAATCCGGGCACTACATCTGGGTCCCGTCCCCAGAGAAGCTCTGAAGCTGTCCCCTACCTGCGGGGACCATCTCTGACGTCCCACCCCACCTGTGCCCTCTGCCCTAAGGGGGGGGGATGTGCAAACGATTCCTGCCCCCTTTTTTTAGATCGTCGCAAAATTGAGTTTTCTAGTCCTGTTTCTTTTGTTGGGATGAACTGATCTCATTCATCACGTGACTGTTCCCACCATCCCTGCATGGACCTTCCCACTGCTCCATTAGAGACAGATGAGAACCCATTCAAGAGTCGTTTTTTATTATTATTATTATTATTATTATTATTATTATTATTATTAACTAAACCAAGAATCCAGAAGGGAGGAGGCGGCTGAGGACTGACATAAGAAACAAGTGGAACAATGGACTCTGAGAACACAGCAGTGTCAGAGCTCCAGGGCATTTCTTCCAGGTGTGACTGCCTAGCAGCTCTGAGCAGTGCGACAGAACGGCAGCAAGAAGGCATTTTATTTATCTGTATATGTAATTTATATATAATATAGAGAAAGATATTATATATATATTATATATATATATCCGTGTGGACTAGGAAACCTGAGGGACCTCTTCAAAGGTACTGTGTGAGTGCAAGGATCTTTCAGTTTCTTTGTCCCACCCGCTGAGCAGAAACGATCCTGGCAGCACCACGAGCATCTCCTGCTGCCCTGCCAGCAGCCCCAGGTTGGGGAGCAGCACAGAGCCCCCCAGAAGGGCCCGGAGCTCTGGGCTGACCCAGGAGCCACAGACTGAACAGGAGGCTGCGGAGGGAGAGAATGGATGATGCTACATATTAAATTGCACATGGTTTTACACGCCACCGTATGTGTTTGCATGAAAGGTTTCCTTTTAGTTCTATTTTTTTAAGCTGATGTTAAACCAAAACCATATTGTGTTGCTGTGTTGGCTTTTTTTTTTTTTTCATTATTCCATTAATTTTTTTTTTTTTCTCTTGTTAATAATGAACTGAACGGGTATAAAATCCAGTTTTTTAACTTATTTTTTAAGCTGGCTTGTACTGTAAATAGAATCCAGATCCGAGGTGTTTAGTTAGGAAATACTCTACCAGCCTCATGAAACCATGTACTCGCTGTCCTGTGTTGCTGTGGAAAACCTTGGGATGGCAGGCTGGCCCTGGACCTGTGCTGAAAGGTGAATGATCCCTTCTGGTGTTGGCTGCTGCCACAAAGAGCCCCAGCTGTGCTCCGGGTGGTTGCTCCCAGGCTTTCAGATTAGCAGGAATGGGGCAGCAGCTGAAAGCCTCCCTCTTTCCTCCTTCCTTCCCTGGTGTCACACGTGCTGCTCCGCTCCCTGCCTGCGTGGTGGTGGCCTTGGGTGGGAGCTCCATCCTCCAGCACTGGGAGCAGTGGGGAAGTGAGCGCTCACCTCCTGGTTCTGGCCTCTCTCTGATGTTGGGCTCTGTGCCATCTCTCAGATTTACCTTTGGGAACTGCTTCGGGTGCCTCCTGCTTGTGGTTTTGGGGGGATGGAGTCGTTCCCTGCAGCATCCTGTGGTTTCCCAGTTGAGGCAGCTGTTAGTGCTGGGAGCTGGCCCTGTGCAGAGGAACGTCCCTTCTGGAGGAAGCTTTGGCACCGGAGCGGGGCTCCATTATGGGAAGGGGGCTGCATGAAGCTGTGGGGCAGCTCAGACTTCAGGCTGCATTTTCAGGTGCTGACAGCCAAGGTGAGAAAGCCTCCTCCTTACAGACTGCAAACAAACAGTGCTCTCACACAGAGGCAGGCAGCAGCAGGTAAGTCTGGGCCATCTTCCCTCCCCTTTCTGTGTGGGGCTAAGAGTGCAGCAGTGCCAGTGCCCTTCCCTGGAGGTCACAGCTGTGGGTGCACAGCGTGCTGCTGCACAGGTGCTCTGCTGAGACACAGCACTCATCCTGCACCATGCAGAGCCAGAAAGGGGCCAGAAAGCAGTGCTGCAAGCAGACACTGCTGTGAATGCAGTGGAGGGGAGGAAGGATTCTGCAGCCAACAGGGCCTGCCCTAAAAGAGTGAACTGCTGTGGGTCCCTGAAGCAGCACAGGGAGTGACACACAGGTCCTTGCAATGCTCGGCACACAGTTCTTGTCTCAGCTGTTTTTCTAATAGCCTGTCCTCAAGCCCCATGGAGAAAAAGCTGATGTACTCCATGGCACAGCTGACAGAAACAAATCGATCACGCCGCTCGTTGGTTACTGGTGTTTCTTCCAAGGAGACGTATATTTTTAATAAACAGAGAGTTGCACAGAGCTCTGCCTTTGAGCCCTTCTTGGGGAGTCCTTCCTTGTGTGCCAGTTCTGCTGCCTGTGCTCACCTGAGCAATCAGTGCCAGCAAGCAGAAGTGCTGAAATGCGGTCACTGAGAGCAGCCTGAAAGAGAAAAGAAGAAAGGAAGCAGCCTTGCTCAGGTGCAGCCCTGATGAGGTCACAGGAAAGCTCTGCTGTTGCTGCTTGATGTGGGTTGGATGACACCATCAGTGGCTTCAGGGCCACAGGTTGAGTTGTATGGGGCTGGTTCTACAAATAGGGTTTATGTGCTGCTGTGTAATGGCTTCTGTGGTGGATGTGAAGGCAGCAGTGTGCTATATATACACATGTGGGTCTGTATATATATATATGTATATACACACAGTCCCACTAACACCAAGCATCCTTTTTCAGCCTAACGTGTTATTTATACAGCAGATGACAAAAAGTTGTGAAGACGACCAGTTTCTGCTGCTGGTATTTTTAAATAGGGGGAGCAGGAGTGTTTGCTGGCAGACAAGTGTGATTAATGGGTGTGCTGTTAGCATTCCTGGCTGAATCTGCTGTGTCACCGAGCTCAGCTGGCTCAAAGGTGAGAGGGCTTTTGTTTTCCAGAATCTTGAAGGCTCTTGTTTCTGCTCTATCTCTGCAGCTGTGCTTCATTAACCCTGCACTCCTCCCTAAGCACAGGAGTGCATAAGTGCGATGCGATGGGAGATAATTTAATAATAGCTTTCTCCAAAGGGTTTTTTTTCCTTCCCCATTGATGCCTGATGTGCAGGCAGCTGAATGGCTGCATGCCTTACAGCCACGTCTTCACCTCCCAGTGCTTGGCAGCATCAAGGATTGCTCCTCTCCGCCTTCCCAGCAGCACTGGGGCACCTGCTGCAAAGGAGGTGAAGTTGTCACGTTGCAGCAGTCTCGGTGCATGAAGCACCCTGAGGTACTCCTGTTTGTATCCCCTCCCTCCCAAATGAAGGCACGGTGTTTGACTTGGATTGTTTAACACTAATTAGAACCGTGGAGCTGTTTGGGTCGCTCAGTGCAGCAGCTGCTAATGGTGGAGGCATGCAGGGGGTGATGATGATGGAGTCGCAGCATGGGGTTGGGACCACACTGGGCTGACCGTGGTATTTCCTCCCTATTCTTAGTTCCAGGGCTACTACTCGATAAAAGCTTCTGCCCAATCCTCTAATGAGCTTCAGTCCTCTTCCAATTAACTTGATTTCTGTTTACTGTAATCACTTCAACTCTCCTGGGCTTGACCTGAGCACTGGTGGCCAACCCAGCCTCTCTTCTGCCTCTCCAGAACATTGCAGCCTTTGCACTGACAAACGCTCAGCCCCGATGGTGGGAGGAATCCCAGCACAGCCCCTGTGGGACATTTCAAGACTGCACTTCCCATGCTAGTCCAGGCTGCTGCTGCTCCCCAAACAGTTAAGATGTCAGCTTGGTAAGAAAAAAAAGGGCACAAGTACTGGCTTGAGGCAGAGGGATTTGCGAAGTGCTGCCCTGGAGGATGCATCTGTGTGTTCTCAGAGGCTGCACTTACACAGCACACCCTGCAGTTCCCACAGCGACGTGCAAAGCAGAAGCCACCGCTGCAATGCCACCTTCTGGAGCCATCTGCTCACACCTCAGGACAAGCACCAGGATCCTCCAAGCAGAAACCAAGCTGCAGCACGAAGCTGATCAATAAAAGAAGACGTGAGGAGCAAACAGCACTGAGTTTGTTTTTCCTTCTATCCCTAATGGGACTACAATGCAACACTCAGCCTAGTAAGATGCCCACTGCACAGACCAGCCTGCATCTACACCAGCAAACAGCCTGCAAAGAAGGGTGTTTGCACACAAACTACCTGTTGGGAATAGGTAACATAAACTGGCAATCCAGCTCATTAAGGTCTGATTCAACCTGGAGAGGAACTCTTGCTCTATTTAAAAGCTGTGGTAAATATGAAGCCTGGAATAAAATGCACAATGCAAAACATGAGCAGCAAAGAGTTAAGAAGTACTGTTACCAGCAAGTCCATTCTGCTGAAGTCTGTAGCATGAGAGAAAGCAAACTGAGCTGTTAAGAAAATAAAAATGATCACACAGTTCTGGCTGTGGGCAAAAACACATTAAATGCTTGCTATCTTCCAGTGGCTGTATGCAATTACCTACCACACTCACTGGGCACACAACGACCTCCTCACCTGTCTGTGCAAGTCAGAACTGAGGGCATCATTAGAAGCAGTGCAGAGATGCACAGCAGCAAGGAGCACCTGAACTGTATGGCACCCATGGTGACCAGGTTCAGGGAATGCAGTGTGTGCCTCCAACACTGGGACTGCAGCAGAACTCAGTGCCACTGCTGAGGCCTGGCTTTTGAGGGGTTCAGAGGTCTTTCTCTGACAGACAGCACGTTGTGCATTAAAGAGCTGAAAACAGCTGCTTGCAGAGATCTCAATCTCAAGCAGCAAAACACTTCTAGCTCTCTGGTAAGCAAACGTGAGGACCCTAAATGCCAGTAGGTGCAGCGCCCCTCACATCTTCAATTTCCTCTTACAGAAACAGCAGAAGAATCCCCATAGCACAGATCACACAAATGTATGCATGGCTCATCACACAAAAGACAGAATCTGCCATATGTACTTGGTTGTGCATTATGGCTTCTTACTCCCCAAGCTGAAAAGCAATCAGTGTGCACGTGCTAGCTATGACAGCTGCCCACCTCACCTTCTCAAGAGGCACTGATACCCTGAACCTGTGGTTTTTGTTCAAGCACATCATCAGCTTTTTGGGTGGCTTTGTGTTGGTTTTTTTTTTGTTTAAGCTCCTATAATAAACACCTTTAGCTGCTACACCCCACAGAACTCAGCACTCCAAAGCCTTCATTGCAGTGCACTGCCCCTTTCTCCCATCCCAGCCAGTGTTACTTTCTTCCAAAGGACTGAGCACAGCAGAAGCTACACACATTCTGACCTTGTGCTCATATGCACTCAGTGCAGCCAAGATTTATGCCCTGGAGGGGGACACCAAGATATGTCATGGAGTGCAGTACTGAAAATAACACTCAGACCATTTATTTTCCGACTTCTGAAGCTGCTGATTAAACAGCAGAGGTTGCACAGAACTACAATCTAAGATCTCTTAACCTCACTCCATCATCCCTTATCCAGGCTGAGGTTCAGATGGGCTGTATCACTTCAGGTGATCCAGCTGCAGTTGGATGCATCCATCTACCAGCCTGTGTTTTTATGTGGATCTGGGGGCACTTCATGCTGAGCTCTGACTGTTGCAGCCAGCAGTCCATAAAAAAAAGCAGTACATAGCAAAAGCTGTGGCTTTCTTCTGCGAGCTGGGTAGCACCTGCTCTTTTCTGTTCTGAACTGCCATCACGGCAAACAGCTCTGAATTCTTGTCCCTACTGAGATGGACTGAAAACGAAACCATCTGATAAATATTTATGCAGCACGGCAGCTGTGGCATCCCAAGGAGATGCCTGGGGTACTGGAATACTCCCATGGCTCACAGTGCCACTTACTACTAAAATCAGGTACTTCAATTAACCCGTGACACAACAGCAGAACCATCTCAAGAGAAACTTACGTATTTATTTCTGCTACACAGCTCCACAGAATGAAATTCTCCTAGAGGGAAACAATAAGACGAATTCAATCAACACATAACTGAATAGCCAACAAGAGGGAGATTCTGGTTTCCTTCCCACTGCTCCTGTGCCCTCGCAGAGCTAACAGCCTCCTTCCTCCAGCTGGATGCTTCCAACTGCTGTCCTCCTTTCCTGCAGTTGTGCTTATCATTATTCTTCATTTGGAAGACACTCTTTTACTCTGTCCAATTTGTCCAGAACCTCACTATAAAGGCCGACCATCTGGAGAATACAACATGATTCAGTCAACAAGGATGTATAAAGGAGAATCATTCAGTAGGTAATACAAAGCAGTGGCAGGGAACAGGAGTAGGGAAGTGGGTGGGAGACTAAAGCCACCTTCTAAATCTAGAATCTTGGACTGATGCAAAGATTTTGGCACAGATTGAAACACGGGGCTTTAGCTTAAATCAGTGGCACCTCACAAAGGTGGATTTATTCATACTGACATAAAGCACAGCTTATAGCTGAGTCTTCTATCAATTAATGAACCTGTTCTTATTGCATTAACTGATGTGCTTAAAACAACACAAAGGTTGCAACCAGCTCCTGATTGTCTCATAGACAAGAGAATAAACCATGACTGCATGCAGCCAGGCTGTACTGAGCTGCAATCAAGACAGGAGCACCAGCCAGAACGCTGCAGACAGCAGCTTACTTGTGACTAATGAAGAAGAAGCTTTGCTGCTTTCTGCAGAGGCACTGGCTGTGGAATTTCACCCTCACAGACTAAAGAACAAGCTTGCAAAAATTCATGCAACAGGTGATTTAAGTAAAGTGGTACAGCATCCTTCCCTTAGTGAAATGAGGCCGTGGTCACAAATCGCCTCACATCTAGCTGTGCAGTCCTGCCAGTAAAGACTCTGCATCACTCCTTCCACTCTGCATCAAATCTATTCTGGCCTCACTTGGAGAAAAATCGACTTTGGTTCCCCCAAAATAGGCAAGGCCAGGTTGGATGGAGCCCTGGGCAGCCTGGTTCAGTGTTAGATATGGAGGTTGGTGGCCCTGCATGCAGGAGGGGGGGTTGGAGCTTCACGATCCTCGAGGTCCAACCAAAGCCATTCTATGATCCTATGCAGGTGCCACGCTGCTCCTGACAGCCTTTAAACCACAGGCAGTGGTTTCTTCACTCAGATCCACACCTTCACAATCCCACTTCTTCCCCTCCACAGCTGACTTCTACCACGTTCAGCCCAGGCATCCACTCCCATTCCCATTTCCATCTGCTCACACTTACATGTCCCTCGTAGCTTTTCTTCAGCGATCCTAAATGATTGAGGAAACGCATTCCTAATCCACACCACTGCTCTGCTTCCTGATATTTACCAACAGTATACTGAAATATCCCTGTGTTCCAGGCTCTTGTCATCAACCAAAGGATCTCCATCTCCGGATAACTATCCTGGAGTAGCAAACAGAACGGGAGAATGGTGGTGCTTTATTTTTCCCCTACACAAAGGACAATTCTTTCAGAGTTATCACATGCTTCACTGAAACTTGGCCTGAAATATCTCTAAAGAAGCCTTACAAAAATCAAGAAAGCCATTTCTAAAAAAGCCATTTCTACGGAGGTAACTTGAGTGCATCTTTTACTGAAGAATCTAAGCTGCTTCATATATAACACTGTATAATGTTTTACCTACTAATTATTCTCAACTTGATGAAAAAATAAATGTTTTAAATGTGCTCTGCATCATTTCCCAATCTCTTGTTTTCCTGTTCAACTTACTGAGCTGCTGACTACATTCAGAGCATCTTCAAAGTAGCCCCACACCTCCTGCAGCACACAGGCATCCAAGTCTGTCACTCCGGTTGGCAAAGAAAGATTAATCAAACTATGCAAGCAGTTGCTGGGAATCAAAACAGAGTGAAAGAGGAAACATGAAATACCTCCAGCACAGAGCAAACAGCATTTTAGCACCTGCAGCACAAAACGACTCGTGCCTCTGATTGCCATCCTGTGCATCCACCTCTGTGCTTAGTGCACCTGTATCTGTACAGACACCTTCCTGGCATCAGAGCTCACTCATACAAGCTGTGCAAAAAGAGACCCGAGAGCAGCTGTTCTGTATTGTAACTGCTGGGCTTGTAGCATTTTCATGGGATGCTATGCATGACAGCAAGGAAAAAAAGAGAAGACCCTCAGCTCTTGTTTGTGAAACGAGAAAAGTGCTCAGCATCCTCACAAAATCAGTAACAAACACACAGCTTCTGAAAACAGTGTGAAAAGGGAAAAAGAGTAGCAATGGCTGCCTCTGCCCACTGGTTGCAGCACAGAACTCAGGAAGAAGGAAAAAAAATCCTTTATGAGATAGAGCTGAGAGAGAAGGACACGTCTGGTTGTCTGTCAGATCCCACAAGCTACAGCTGTCACAGAGCTGGTTACCCAGCAGAATAAATTGTGCATGTGCTACAGCATCTTATTGCTAGCTTACACCTCATGGCTTTCTTCTCAGCCTTTAATTTGTCTTAATTTTCTAGTTCACTACTTCACTGCTGCAGAGAAGCATTTGGAACAAACACTTCTGTAACAAGAAGCAGCCAGGAACGCTTTCTAGATCATTGTCCTTCCTCAATAGATTCACTTATTGCAAACATGACCTTCAGAAAACACACCCAGCAAACAGGTTGCAGTCATCTCACCTGTTAGACAGACACACTGCAGTGGCAGATTGGTTGGCCAGCAAATCACAGCAAGTTTAAACATGAGCTAAAACCCACTTCTTCCAGCTGAAGGCTTTGTTCCCTACCACATTTCAAGCCATGGGCTCACGACAAACGAATGTGATAACACTCACCTGAATTTCACAGCATCAGTGCTAGTTTGCTTTCTGTAAAGGCTCAGGGCACTCTTCAGAGCTTTCTTACACAGCACAGGATACCGAGCTGGAGGTTCCATTGCTAATGCTATAAAATGAATGTTAAAAATTAAAGAAATGGAGAAGAAGGAAATGATTGGAGCTAGACTTCATGGTCAGCATTTGCTCATTGCCTGGGCAGGTCACAAACTAGTGCTTCTCTGCCATCTTCTTAGCTGCAGACTCATCAGTGATGACTACGAGCAGAAGCACAGCAGATTGTCCACTGCTGCTGCTTACAGTCAGTGCAGTAACCCCAAAGCAGCAATGGGCTCTACAGAAACAAGGATCATTTTCATTGTCTCCTAGGGCATGAAAATCTACATAGAAAAATCAGGCAGCAGTGGGATTTGAGTACAGCTTTTCCCCCTCGTGCATCTCCTTAAGACAACACAGAAAAGCAGGTGCTTACACAACTGTGCAGAATCCCTTCCAGTTTTGCCATGGTGGATCTACATTTTACACATCTTTTTTTGTTCTTATGCTGTATTCTCACTGGAACTTTGTGATGAAGATGAGAGGTAGCTATAGAAGGATTATTTACAAGTTAACTACACTAAGCTGAAGAAGCAAAAGCACCCTAAAATGTCTGTGTTGGAACATGGAGCACCTAGGGCTGCTCTCTGGCCTTTGCCTGTTTTGGAGCCTGTGAAAGTTTATCTGAACAACTTTTTCCAGACTCAAGACTTATACAAATGTCTCAGGTTCTAGAAATTAGAGGACACCACAAATTACTGGTTCATCATCCACGTAACACAACGACATTTCAAAGCACAGATCTAATACTGCTGAGATCCTAAGCATCTTTGTTTCAGGACACAACATTAAGCTCATTTCCTGCACGATGTACCATACACAATAATCCTGGTCACCTCAAATGTTGAGGAAAGAGTGGCTTGAGCTGATTCTCATGACTTGAAGAACTATAGAAGAACAAATGCAGTCCTTACATGCAATGATTTCTAGTGTCTTGATCTCTATGTGTGGTTGCTCCCACAGTGACTCCATGAAGTTATTGAGTGCTGGATCATTTAGCTTGGATCTTGCTTCAAATTCATAGAGCAGCAACAAAGTGTCTGTTGGGTCTTTAGAAAAATCTCCTGTAGGAAAGATAGATTTGCCTGTATGTAATGATTCATTTTCTTAAAGCTAAATTGTGTACAAGGTCAATATTTTATTTCCAACAGGCAGGAAAACCATTAACAAACATCCTCAGATTGAACAGCACAGGAAGTAGAAACTGAGAAGTAGTTGTGGATGGAATCCCCAGATGCCAAATGCACAACCCCACCAACCCCATGCTTCAAAGCCACCCCCAAAATCCAGGTTGTCTGTAATTGGCTGAATGACTGCAGCCTGGACAAGAGTAACAGCTACCAGGAAAGCCAATGGCACAGCCAGGTAAAGCAGATAACAGAACAACACTGCCTGAAAAGCTTATGAATGATGTTACCATCAGCTTTCAATTCTTCTAGAGGACTCATCCCCTCTCTGGTAGGAAACCCTCAGGAAAGAGAGTGGGAGAACAGCAGAACCAGTAAGGCACAAACCAACATACATGCCAGACCAGCCTGTGCTGTCACCAAGACCTTGACTCTTACATCTAAAAGACATTCTCAGCTTCATCCAGAGCAACAGGCTTGTCCACACACTGGCTAAAGTCTAGAGAATAGAGAAGGAAGAGCCAGGCTACATTCCACAAAGCTCTACAACAAAAACTCCCATCTAGTGAAATGTCCACATCCAGAGATAATCAACTCAGTGGGATTCTAGGGAGGGAGATAAAGAGAACTCCAAATCCAGCCTATATAATGAACCTTTAGTTCAGAAACAATAAAATCTGGGGAGAAGGGGGAGCAGCAAGTAAATTTTTTGACAGAACTTAAACACTAATGCATCTTACCATGGAAACTCAGCAATTTCTGAAGCCCATCACTGAAAAGAAACCAGACCACAGGTCAGACAAGGAATGCCTGAACCTGATAGAGTTTTTCTAGTGATGTATGACCAAAAAGAGGAAGCACGTAGCCTCTAAGCTACCAGTCACACAGCATGCCAGCTGTCAGCAGCTGAAAGCCCTCCATTCTCCTGTGATCAGCCTGAGCTGTGTGACATGGAATTGCCAAGGAACAAAGATGGGTTCTGACACTTGAGGACGTGGCAGTAGGTCCTTCTGTATTCTCCAATGCCTTTCAAGGGAAGAATCAGTAAAAGATTAAAGCACACCTTACTCCAGACTGCAGTGCAAGAGCGGAGCCAGGAAAACTGTGCAGATCTGCTACCAGCCTGATTAGAGCAAAGAGCTTCAAGTTTCCTAACAGTGAAGACAGAAAAGTCAATCCAGTTCACTCTAAAAGATCATTCCCCCTTCACAGCTCCTGTACAGCAAAAAGCCAGCAATGACACACAAAAAAGCCACAGCTGGCACTGTAAATTCTCATGCTATATTGTCCCATATGTTTCAGCACTCCTCAGCAATGACAGTAGCTCCACATGCCCTGTATTTTCAGTGAACACAGTGACTAATTGTACTTACACACACATCTCCCACCTTACCTGTTAATTTCAGAACTTTCCATATCTCTCTGCACGCCTGGAGATGTTGGAGAGCCTGATTCCAAAACTCCACCTGATTTACAAGGAGTTCAAAAGATTTCTGTTACAGTCTTACAGGAAAAAGGAACATACAGTTCACAACTGACAAGAGGAGAGACTTCTCCATGCCTAAGCATTTAATAAATGCAGAACCTGCCTAACATCATCCCCACCAGCTCCTGGGGGGTTGTGTTGTTTTCTCCCTCTTTTGTAATGACCTTCACTACTCAGGCAAAGCCTCTTCACACTGAAGGTTCTGTTACTTCAAAAAGGACCACGTGTGTCCCTGAAAGACATCATCTGTTTTCTCTTGAACATGCAATAATCTTACTGAGACTGATCAACCACTGCTCACGTAATAAACAAGGTAGACTGAAGTTCCTTTAAGAATAGGCACTGTTGACCCTTTGCTGATACAAACCTGCTCAAATCTATTTAAGTCAATTGAATTACTTTACAGAAATCCAGTATTTTCAATTCTCTGGGTGTACTGATTCTACTGAATTATGGAAGGTTCCCATGCTTACACTTTCCATATCTCCTTCTGAGTAAAACAACTAAGGCTTCAAAATCAAAAGTGAAAAAACAAAGTAGTGAATGTTCATTTTGTGGATACAGATCAAATGAGGCAACAGAACAACACCCTACCTGCTCAGAAAGTGTTACTTCTTGTCTCCCCAGCTCCAGATCAATTGCAGCTGCCATTAACAAGCATGTCTTCTGAGCAATTAGAACAGCCTTGTCAGAGGGACAGAACTGGGATAACTGAAACAAAAATAGGAGGTAATGGGAACTGTGCCTATATAAAGCAATTTGCATGCTGAACAGAGGATTGTCAAGTGCCTTCTATGACTTTTTCAGTACAAAGGATGCAGCAGTGTTGGAGTTTAAAAAAATTATATATATATACACAAAAAAAAGCACAATGTTGGTAGAAGTTCTGCATGAAGACTGGGACTCCAGTACTTGTTGTGTAAAATGTTTCTATTCGTGATCCAGCTCCCATACATGAGAACAAAGGTACTTCAGGAAGATCTCACTGAAGTCTACATGCCTTGCCATACTTTCAATACTCAGGTTGTAAAGTATAACAGTGGTTAAACCTTATATTGCAAGGCCATTTTTTTCTGACAGTGCTCCATTCTCAGAGCACACGAGGGCTTCTCCAAGGAGATACCCATACATGGAGGTAACTTCTGACAGCAGCAGGCTGTGACAGTGTCAGCACATACCTTGAAAGACAGGACAAAAAAATCCCTCATCTTTTCAGGGCAGTCCTTGAGCTGCACAGCTAAGTTCCAGGCTAACAAAGACATAAAAACCAAAGGCTAGATCTTAGACAATCTTAGACATGTTACTGGTTATGCCCATCCAATCTCCAATGGGCAGAACATATCGTGCAATTCAATTCCTTCATCCAAACATCATCAACAGGTCACTTAACAGCGAGGGATACCTATGCCAGTGATTTGTTAACATATCTTATTCCTGCTTTCAAATCTTTGATAATTTCATCCCAATCCAGTGTCCATTCTTACACGTATTCTCTTACAAGAGTATGAATTGCATGAAGCATTTTCTTGTCAGTAAACAAGATCAGAATCTGAATAAAAACACTGACCAGCATTCCCAAGTATTAAACAGAACCACAATCACACCATGCGCCACTGATGGCAGCACATTCTGAGCTTTCTAATGCTGATCTAATCTGCATAAGAACATGCATATTCAGTATTTGTTGCTATTTTTTTAATTGCCCTTAGCAGCAATTTTTTTTCAGAAAATCACTGGTATTCCCTATTTGTGTGACCTTGCATTTGACTTCAGTGAAAGTCAAAAGGAGAAAAAACAGGAGCCCTGCATAGCTGCATCATGGCACAAAGAGCTGCTGAGGTAAAGCAGGGCCAAACACCCCATCAGCCACACAGACCTCATGCAAGTATTTGTCTGAGTTGAAATATGAGTTACAGCAGGCAGCTTCAGAAGACAAAAAATGAACAGACCACTTAAAGCAGAGACTGCCAAAGGTGGCACCTTCCATAGCACTGCACCTTCAAACACCTCCTCCTTCCTTAACATCAGCCCAAGTGGAGGTGATTCACTTTAAGTCTTGAGAGTGCAGCTTACCAACTTTTCTAAACCAGTGGGCTTCTGAAGTCCTTACATCTCTTGTCAAATTCTCCTCTGTGAAAGGCTCAGCAAGTCTCTGGTGAGCTGCAGAAAATGTGTTCTTTAGGAGACAGGTTGCATTTTCTAAGCAGGACACAAACAATTCCAAGTCTAATAACTACATTACAAATATCATTTTTTCAAAGCTCCCATGCAATCCCTGATGAAGGGTTATTCTCACAGCTTATATCTAATATGATTGACCACAAAAGCTTAGAAAACAAACTTCAGAAGGTGTCTCAAACAGCATTCAGGATAAGATGTGAGGCTCCCAGGAGGTACTGCCTCTTCAAAGCTTATTGGCACTGAAGCCTAATGCAGAGGAGTTCAATTGAATTTGCTCAAAAAGTTGGGTGGGGATTCAATTTACTAAGTGTTGTTTAAGGGTTTTCTTCAAGGAACATTTATTTCTTTTACTTCTCTGTTCATTCTCTTCTGCAAGTCCCAGTCAAGAACAGCGAGAACAGGAAAAGTTCAGTACTTCATCAACTTTCTTTTCCAAGACAGGGGAAAGCAATAGAAAAGATTAATGAAATAAGAATTTATGTGGATGGGAAAATCTTCTGTAAAACTCCTGTGTGTATTCCAAAGCAAACAAGACAATTCTTTTTCAGTGAATGGCACAGCTTAAAAGTAGCACCAGACTTTGACAAGGCTCTCCTCATCTTTCAGCTATTTGCTAAAACTGCCTGAAGTTTCCTAAGCCTTCCAAGGCAAAAGAAAAACCAAACCTTAAATACCTCCCAAAACAGCAAAAACAGCAAACACCATCACTGGCATTTAACTGACACCAACAGGAAGCTGTGCTGCTAATTGATGGAACAAAACCAAACTTCTTCCTTTCTGAAGACACCAACTTTGTTTCTGCCTTTAGGATTGAGACCCAACCCCCCAGCACTGCTGAATCCCCTGTTTAACTTGGGGAGCTGAGAACGTGGGCTGAAATAAGGAGTCAGCAGGGACCTGATTGTGTCACAAAACATTCACAAATGGAGGGACTACAGAAAATGTAAACACAACAAAAACATACCCAAGGTCAAATAAGTCAGCATCGACTTGATGTCTTCATCTCTAAAATGGAGGGAAAAAAAATCAGGTTTTAGATAACGTTTGATTAATTTTCTGGCAATAGAAGACATTATTGATGCAGGAAGACAACAGCTCCTTAATAACAGAGATGATCATTCTTCTGACAGATACATCAGGCATTAGAAACCTCTGGCATTTGAAGGTGCAGAGGGCCTGCAAAAGATTTTAGTGACAGCAGTGAAGATAGAAGTGTAGGAGATTTTCTCAGTCAGAAGGATGCAGTTAGGGGCTACAGGAGAATCTAATCTCACTGACATCCCCTGTCTTCTTGCCAGCCACAATCCAGCAGTACAGCTCTCCTCCTTCCATGCTGTTACACCACCTGCAACGTGGCCAGCCTTCAGCAAGGGAGGTCTCACTCTCAAGTTCTCACTCAGAACTTGTGTAAGATATCTCAACCTTGTGTCGATGTTAAAAAGAATGCTTAGCTCATACTCCCATTAAACAATAAAACTGGAATGCAAAAAGCAAGTATTTAAAGGAATTTTAATGATATAAGCAGATGCCTCTGCGTGACACCATTAGTCCATGGTGGGAAGTCAGCTGGGTGCACTTTTAACTAGTAAAAAACTAATCTCTTGATTACTCCTAAGGAAAAAAAGTCTCTGTTGCACTGTTTGTATAATCTGTCTGCCATAAGAACACATTTTACAGATGTGCTCACCTTTTCTCTTCTTTTTCTACTTTTGACAATGTAAGACGAACCAAACATCTGAATATGAGAAAAAACAACAGTGAAGAAACAAGATTTTTTTTTCCAACAGTGTACTTTGCCCTCAGGTTTCAGACAGGATCCCACTTTCTTCTTTATGCCATCAGTCCACATAGCTCACAAAAGAATTTGGTGTCAAGCTGAGAAGAATACTGTAATATTTCCCATCCCACTGCCTTATTTTATATACCATTTTGTTAAATCAGGTAATAGAAAGTAAATAAATGTACTTTCAAAAAAGTTTCAAACAAAAAAATGGGAAGAAGAGGTTTTTCTTGCAGTGTTTGTTTTTATAAGCGATAGAACATTTCAACAACAAGACATCACTTCATCACAGGACACAGCTGAGCTGGTATTTTCACCACAGGAGCTGCTGCAATCTCAGTCGAGTTGCTGTTGGTCATTTGTTCAAATCACAATGAAGTCATAAACTCAGAGCTTGCCTGGAAAAAGCCTGAAATGCATACAGACTGTAGGAGTCTGGGCCTGAGGAACATCCCCAGCACCAAAAGCACTGCTAACTAATCCTTCATCTACTCTGCTTTCCACCTTCCTCAACAAAATCATTTCTGTTGCAAAGAAACCAGAGTTCCCTTCCCATGTAAACATCTCACACCCTCACTTTAAAGCTGCAAATACTTGTCGGCAGTCTTGTGAGCGTTCAGACAGGTGCTGCAGAGCTCTGATAGCCACAACTTGTTGATCATGCTGAAAAGAAAAAAACAAATCCAGCCATGAAAGCACAATTTGTATACAGCGTTCTTGCTCAGTTTCCACAAAGCAAAACAATGAAGAAAAAGAAGAGCAAAAGATCTGCACAGAGTTTCCCTCAGAGCTGAAAGAGGGACACAATTCCACGTGCAAAGAGCCTAAAGCAGTAACAGGCTCAGTACAACTTGGCAAGCTCTTCATGCCTTCGAATGCTATACAGCCCTACAAAGCATCCAAAAGATAAACGAGTTTCCAGTCCTTCATCATTGCCTTATGTAATTTTGGACAAAATCCCAGGGGTAGGGAGAAATGTAACATTTTGCTGAAGAGAATTTTACAGAAACACGCCATGACGTTTCTAGATACTAACATTTACAATTCAGAATCACTTGTTCTCCAGATAAATAAGTATATGTTCAAATAACAGTTTGTTCTTATATGGAGTCAGTTTGCACTTTGCTTTGCACAACGCATCTCAGAACATACAGTGAGACTTTGGTCACACAAGCATTAAATACTTCAAAATGCATGAAGCAGAAATACCAAAAGTAGGCCAGGTTACAGAGGTTACACCTGTCCTGCTTATAGAATAAGGCAAAATAAAGACAGTGTTTTCTGTTCTACCTCTAAAGCAATTTGGGCAGCCAAACTCAGGAGGTTACTGCTCATACTTTCATCCACTACCAGCTTGTCTTCATGTTGAGATGGCTTTTCAGCTAGCTTCCCCATTTCAATAATTGCTTCCACAGCTGAAATACACATAGAGAAAAATCAGTTGTTGGGGTCTTTTTTGTTTTTTTTTTTTTTTAGTGGAAGCAATGGGAAGGTATAAAGCTCCACTGTTTTAATAAGGCTTTAACTACACCTTGTAAAAAAATAAAATCACAGCCTTTCATAAGAAGAAAATCAAGACAAGAAAACCCGACCATACCAGCAGCTCTCCACAGCTGTGCATTTCTTCCTAGAGGGGCCAAAAAGGCATTCTAAGCTCCTAGTCTAAGGAAACAAGGATGCCACACAAATGAAACTGCATCTCACATATTCTCAATTTTGCTCTGCTAAATATCTTTCTGTCGCAGAAGCCTTTCTTTAATCCATTGCCTGGGCAAGCTTCCAAGCTCCCACATCTTGGTTCACGTTAAGGCTGCTGCTGCTTTTATGCTCCTGCTGTGCTGTGGTTCCCACTCTGTATTATATGAGCAAATTAGGCTGCCATTTAAAAGACATGTAGAAAATAATTCATCAGCACAGATCTCATTGAAGAATAAGATCTGCGTGTTACTCTGTACCCTAGTTAAGTCTATAGACTGTATTTCTCAATTTTCATTATTTGAGCTAAGAATCTCATTAAAATATGAAGTGGCAGAAGAGAAAGTCTACAGACATATGTCATTCTGTAAGTCATCTCAGTCAGCTCATGTATTTTCTGGTAACTTCAGGCTCTGCTTGACCAGAGAAATCAAGAGCAGTGATAAAGGTTCATCTGGCTCTGTAGCATTTTTCCAGCTGTACACACTCATAAAAGAACTTTAGAAATAGCAAGTCTACAATGATTCTCACCCTGGGATGCTGCTTTAGCTTTTGCCCACAAGATTAGAGAATTCCAAGCCAAAGGCTCCACACAGATTACACACTATGTGTAAAACAACATCCCCCTCTGACAGCCCAAAATCTACAGGCTGACAGTTTCAGTGATTTCATAGACACTTCTATCTTCTCTCTATTATGTCTTCCCCAGAATTAACAGTCCATGTCTGCTGAGCATTATCTACGACACTCAACGCTTCTGATCGTTGTAGAGAACCTTTTTGCCTTTCAAGTTCTACCTTTATCAGTGTCATTCTCCATCACTGCAATCTTATAGATGCTGAATTGAGTAAAGATGCTGTTTGGATCACACCTTTCTGCTTCTTTAACTGCCTCTTTAGCCTATACAGAGAAAAGAAAGGAATTCAGTGCAATGATGCAACAGGAGAGAGCTAAAAATTGTAATGGTTTCATTACAGATGTTCACACAATTACTGTACAAGTTTGGTTTGGCAACAACCCCCCCAAAAGAAAAGTGATCAGAGCAGAAGATAACACCAAGGACAGACAATGACTGTAATGAGGAAGAAAGCAATTCCTCCATTGGAGCCACAGAATTAGAAAGCAGAAGAAGCCCTGAGAATGCTGAGAGATTAAACCCCATTCTGCCACTTTGAACTGTGAAGTTCAATATCCCCAAAGCAGAACTCAGACAGGTAATGCACATGCACAGCTCTGCAGGGCTGAGGGCTAACAGTGCGTGGAAGTGTCACAGTGTGACAAGTCCAATGCTTGTTCTGCTGAGGCTCATCTGTCCTGAAGGGAGGATGGCCCCTAATCTGAGAAGAAACCTGATGCTGTGAGGCATGCTAAGACAACCTGTGCATCGTTTCCCCTGTTACAAGGATGGCTGATAGAAGAGGCCCCCGAAGCAGTGAAGATAACCAGTGTATCTCAGATCCTCTCAATCAAAAGAGGTACAGGAACAAAAATGTAAACTAAGTCCAAATGATATAGCTACAAACACAAAAGCAATGTTATTAAATAAACACACCTTGTCAATTTGTTTCAGATGAAGATAGCAAGAAGCCATATTTCTCTGCAACTTAGCCAGATTCTGATCTATCTGCCCAGGTGTATAGAAGCTGACAGAATAGTTGTACCAGTTAAGAGCTTCAGAATAGCTTTTTGCCTAGGAAATTAAAAAATAAAAGGAGGAGGCATGATTAATTGGCTTGTTTTCCTAAATCAAACAAAACCATCATAGGAAATGAAAGATTCAGATAGTAAAGTAGGCTTTTTCCCAGAAGAGCAGTCACTGAACCCCCAGCACAGGCACATTCGTTAGGAGAACAAATATTTTACCTATTCCTGCTATTCCACTACAGATGTCTCAGTGTAAGGAATATTTTAAGGTTTTTTGAACTCTTCCCAGGGCACAACCAGAACGGTGGGCTGCAGGGGTTCTGTGGCTGATCCATTCTGGTGTAACTGTTCCCATTTACAAACCTGGAGAGGAACCTACCTGAAGCCTGATGTTCGAATGGAAAAGAGCACCTATCAGGATGAAAGTCAAACCAGTTCCAAATGGAACAGGGATTTTACTAACAACTTCCCCTCCATACAAAGCCAGACATATCAAAGGAGTCAGAAAAAGAAGATCTTCACTTTCACTCATACAAACATCAACGCTACTCAGTTCCAAACCTCATAATGTTTGGCAGCTGTGTCCCACAGGATGATGTGCAGTCGGTTCAAGGTTTCAGGCAACAGCTGTTTCCCAGTGTAGTGACCTGAAAAGATACTGCAAGTCATCACTTTACAAGAACTTTAACCACACTGAGAGAACTAGCTGTGAGCTATCTATGTTTAAAGCAACTGTCCTGTTGCCTAAAACAAGAAACGAAACCACAGCAATAGCTTCATCCAGGATCCAGTGCTCCAGATCCTGCTTCTGGAAAGAAAAAGTAGCAACCAAGAGAATAACTACTGTCATGCTCTAATGATGACAGCGTGGCTTTTGCACCTAGCTAAATGCTACATAAAGCACAGTCTGATTTGCAGCAGATACCACAGCCAAGAAGCACGACTGTGCTGCAGGTGCAAAGGACCTGAAAAGGAACCTGTAATTCAGCTGCTCAAACAAGGACATGCAATCTGTTTTAATGCTGATATACAAAAATACATTGAGCTGGCTGGGCAAAGCATTAACATCACACAGAATTTCTAGCAAATGTTTATGTTCCCACATGCATCAAACTCACACAGCCCACACTAAGAAGAAGGAACTGTTTTAGCAAGAGAATTTAGCCTGAAGCTTTATCATAGCTGTCATTCATTATGGAAGTAGAGAGTTGCCATGCAAAAGAAACAGAAGGGAAGGTAGACGCAAACAAAAAGAAAGATGAGAGTATATTAAAAAAATAAAATCAGAATTCAAGGCTGGCCAACTAAATGCAGCTTTCAGTAAGTGGCAGCAAAACAGGGATACAGACCTATAATAATTTCTTCAACCTTTTGCTTAGCAAGCAGCTCCCTCTTATTCTGCAACAAGAACTCGATGTAGAGCAGGGTGACTTTTCCAAAGTCAGGTGAAGCTTCAAATCGTTCAGCAACAGATTTCAGGAAATCAAAGCCAACTGATTCCCTGTTCACATTGACAGAATTTTAAGAGGCTGCACATAAAAAGCTGTTAATTTTCCATTCTAAAGAGTAACGTTCACACATTCAGTGTGTTTCTCATTGGCATTACTGGCACACAACCACGCTGACAGAGTCAATCAAGGTATGAATGCACCACAGTTCATCTATTCTGTAGTCACTTCCTATTAGCACATGCTTGTTCTACAGTATTCACAAGATAACTTTCATCTCACAGTGACAGAGTTAGAAATCACTACCAGACAGAAGTGCACATGCAGGTGATCACAGTGCAGCAGTCCACACTGTGAAATGTCATGCCTTTGTCTTGCAATCTGTTTAACCTCATACTGTTTTTCACTGGGATTCCTAAACCTTTCATTTTCAGTGTTGGTCAGTTAACAGGGAAGAGAAATACAATTCCAGACCTGTGGCAAATACTAGAACTACATGGAGACGATCCTGATTATTCCAAAGTAAGGCTACAATATTGCAAATCACCACTAGACTTTGTTTCTCACCCTGCTGTGCTAATATGTACCACCTTCCCACTGCACAGATAGGCTACCTATACAAAGGGCTTCCCTGCCTCTGCCAGCTCCTACCTAAAGTGTCACTATGTAATAGAAGATCTTTGCTTATAGAGGAGCAGCTACAAAGCCAAATATTGTGTGTTCACTGCACTTAACGGTGCTTTCATACCTTCCATGCTCCAGCAGCAGCTTGGCAGTATTCAAACAAAAGTCTAAAGACATCTCATGGTGCTGGAATTCTGCAACAGCTAAAAAGAGCACAATGCTGTTAAGATTATTCAATCAGCTTCAGACACACAACAGCTCAATGTATGGTCTTACAAATTCTTTGAGGGGAAAAAAAAAGAACCAAGTAGTTCTAAAATCAAGGAAGAATAAGACACGTCAGCTGTGTTCTGACTTTCCTCTCTGTCTCACAATTAAAGTAACACTACAGAATGTGACAGCCCTGGTATTCCAGCCCTGCAGTCCCTCTGCTAACACTGGCTGTTATGGCCAAAATGCCAAATCAGAACTGTGACATTTAGCATGTGAAAATTCCTCTAGAACACACAACAAGGAGATGCTGGTTTTTCCCTTCCCAATCCATTCACTCAGGCTGTCAGTTGGACATGGAAAAGCATCACCTTCCCATGGCACCTGCACAGAACTGTGCTACCTGAGCTGATGTCTTCATCTGATGCTCCACTTTTAAGAAGAATTTTAACTTTCAGAAAAAACCCTGCTGGATGCAAATTCTCCTGCATAGGGAAAAACAATCCATCACTTGGATATTCTACTCTTTGTAGAAATTTAGGGCAGAACAACAATGGGAACAAACAGAAATAATAAAGGCTTTCTACTGCAGCTTTCATTAAAATACTGTATATATCAAACTTCAGAATAACATTTTTCTTCTAGCTTTCCATATATTACCAAAAAATATACTATCAGAACACTCTTCCATTTCAGACACTTTTCTGAAGGTAGATACAGAACACACACTGCTCAGATGTAGCAGTAATGTATTACAGGAGTGGTTTGAATGCACTGCCACTTACCCTGACCTCACCAGCATCCTCAGCACCTCCCTCTGAAAGCTTTCCTGCTATGTTGAAAACTGGATTTGAGCTTTCACCTCCAACAGGATTTTATACTTACAATTTATTTTGTGTGACTCAAATAACAGAAGTTTAAGAATGGTCAACAAACAACAAACTGAAAGGTTTTGAATTCAAGTTTTTTCAGTAAACTGAAGACACAGAAGAATAAAATTAATCCCACTCCCTACATGGCAAATGGAATTTCTATAAGAGCACAAGATCTCAGAGCAGCAGCTGCTTAGAGATATACGAACTCTCTTCAGCTACAGTTCTTTTTTCAGCTTCCTGAAGAAAAACAGTCAAGCTAGTAAGGCAAAACAGTTAAATTAACTGCTTAAAATAAGGCTGCTGTTGGCATGGAACTCTCTTTGCTCCTTGCTCAAACATTTGTAAGGGTAACGAGATGGGGACTCAAAATGTAGTATGGAGATACCCACTGGAAACCAAGGTCAGACAGTTTTCATGCCATTTAGTCACACCACTACCAGTGGGTCTCACTGCTAACAGAACCACAGCAACACTGCTCTGCATCTACATACTGAGCTGTGCTTCTCTAGAAAGGTACAAATATCAAAATGTATTTAGGAGCACAAAAAGCAAAGCAAAACCAGCTCAGCCCCTAAGTCAGCTGATTTCAAGGAAAACACCAGGGGTCTGTGTCACGTCAGCAGATGTTAATAATGCTAGAGTTTCAGTTACTGCACACCACAGGTATCAGAGCACACCACTACCTTGTTTGCCAAGTCGATAGCCTTCAGTGCCTTGTCAAGATGCAGGCTGCAATCCCACTCAAAATAGGCAGTTGCTAACAAGCGCAGCGCTTTTGCCTGGAAAAAGCAAAGTTCAAATCCAACAGCAGGAAGAACACAGGAACTCACACAGAAACAAAAGGCTTAAATGTTAAGGCCACGAGAAATAAAGCTCTCTCAGTCGAAAGAATGCTTGTCTGACAGCAGACTTGTGACTGCTCAGCTCAAAGCTTGAGCAGCAGCGCTGTGTGTGGAGCCCTGACAGGACAGGAATCAACCAGAGAGCTCAGGGAGCAGAAGAGTAATGAGGAAATTCAGAGATGTGTTAAAAAAGAATGAAAGAAGAAATTCAATGAACAAGAGTTACAAACTTCAGGAAAAAAAAAAAAAGACATACAAGAGAACGGCCTTCAAACACACCTCAGAAATGACAAGATGACATACATCATTTTGATGTATGAGGAAGGAAGAAATGATGGCCTCTAAGAGCCTGAGTCTTATTTTCTACAGCTAAATCTCTGTGAAACAGTAGATTCAAACATGATTAAGGGCACTTAACAGTGACTCAGCTCTCAGACCAATGCTCACAGCAAGGGGGTCTGCAGCTTTGCCAATCTTCAAGGTGGACAGGACTATAGAAGAGGCCACAGAATGACTGGTCAGATTTGGCACAGTAGAAATAGCTGTACTGGAGTTATGCTAACCAAACCCTCCTATTTGCAAACAGCAATTTCTCTATTTCTTACCTGCATCTCTTTCCCAACAGAATTCTTCACGTCCATCTTCCCAATGTCGTAACTCTGGCTACCAACAACAAGGGAAAGTTAACATTACATGTGATGGACTCAGCCAGTCCTCTGATACATGCAACATTCCCATCCTTCCCCATCTCTGAAGCACTCAGAAACCTCATAAATCACACAAGCCAGTCTCAGTACTCCACCTTACAGGAAAACTGATTCTTTTTTTCTGAATCCTCATTTTGAACACTGTCCTCAATCACTTCCTTCGACCTATTGCACCACATTCTCTACTACCTTCCACTTCGTTGGGCTCTGTCACTTCTAGCTAAAGGTGTCTGGAGGAGGTAACTGCTCTCACTCTCACCTGACAGATATTGCAGTCATACACAGAAGGTGTTTGTGACCCAGTCTCGAGATCATAGCAAATCAGTAGCACAAAAACAGGACCTGGAGGTCACAATTCCTCACTCATTACCTGAAAGTTGAAGGACAGCACAAAGGACCCCCCAGGGAAAACACAGCAGTAATTCCACGAGAGATTTGATGTCAAATGGTGCAAATTAAGCACTGTTAAAAACAGGACAATTGTTTCCTAATCTCACACAGCATCTCATCCCACTAGATGGAGCTAAATCTCTATATCCAGATAAATATCTGCTCTTGGTAAAGCCTTATTTCCTCCTCAAATTTTATCCCAGGACTCAGTGTTTAATTTTCCTCTAGAACAAAATATAAAATAATCTCCAAAGCACCAGCTGTAATCAACTCCAAGCATTTCTAAAAGTATTCTGTGAAGGCAAACATGACCATAAGCATCTTGAATTAGATGTGTTGGCATTTGTTTCCCTCCTGCATATATAAAACAAAAAGAACAAGAAGAAATAAAAGCAATTCTCCTGCCCTTGGTACGAGGATACTTTTCCTGACAGCCAAGTTTTCTTCCTTAGCAATAACACAATACCTACTGGATGCTGCCCAAACCATCTCTACTGCTGCCCAGCTACTCATCTTTCACCTTGACGTTTGTGTCTTTCATCAGCCAGGCTTTGCTGTCAGTGAAGCAATTTTCCTCCCTGAGAAATTCAAATATTCCTTCAAAATAAATCTATTCGAAATCAGAAAAATTCTTTCACATTTCTCTGAAGTTTTCAAGTTCCATCACTACTGTGTGCAAATGGCCTCTTCATAAATGCAATCTATTTGGAAGGAGCTTTAAGGAGAACAACTTCCACGTGGAAAGAAGGCTTTCATTTTAACGGCATGAAAATCAATGTGAAAAACAGACATAAATGTTAGGCAGGGGAGTACAACAGGCACTAAGTGTTTGCTCAGCCAGTATGGTTCAGTGAAAATCCTGTGTTCCCTTATTTCCAATCAACCTTCTGCTTTCCCTCGCTCGCTCCTCTCCTTCACACAGATTTTTACCTGACAAAAGCAGATTTTTACATGACAAAAGCAACTTCGGTTGCCTTTTCACATTACCTGAGCCAAACGGAGCTCTGCTCATACTTCCTACAGTCATAGGTTTCCACTCCGAAGTTGTAACAGAGGATTGCCAGGTAACGGGTCTGCAACGAAAGGCTGCTGCTGCTACAGTGTTCTCATAGACACACCACCACATCTATGGCACTCAGTCCCATGTTCTTTAAAGATACCCCCTGGGATCACTTCTGACCTTATTTGATAGGGCAGTAGTGAACATGACTAAAATCATATTGTTCTGTGGGAAAGTGAAGTGATGTGAGCCAGTTTAGGATGTGCAAATCAGAATTCTTCACTGCATGATGCTGAATGGTTCCACAAGAAGCCAAGCTGAAAGCTCTACAACTGTGCAAAGCATGCAAAATAAAACTTGAGAGGAAAAAAATGGAATATTACAACTTCCTTTACAAAAGTGACAAACGAGCTTTAATTTTGCATCGTTAAATGAACACAACTCCACCTCCTGCATGATAGCCTTTTTTTCCAGCATGCACCTTTGCATTATAAAAGGATGATCCGCACCACCAGCGAGAGGAGAAAAATGCGTTTGAATGCTTGGTTATTCGGAGCACTGCTGCTTTTTGCTTTATCAGTCAGGCCTGACAGTATCTGTTCATAACAACTTGTCTTTCAGCTGAAATGATTTGCAACTGTCACGTTTGCAGCTGTCCAAAGAGGAGACAGGAAAGCGTTTTCAATGCCAACAGACTGCTAATATTTGCATCCATTTCGCCTCCGTGGTAACTGCCTTTTCTAAGTACAAAACGTGCTCCTTGCGAGGGAATTCAAACCCTCAGCCAAGAACGAGAGCTGCAGAACAGCATCTTGCTTTAAACTGACTTATTTCTGATCTCACTGCAATCCAGAGACAAAAGCACAAATTCAGGCACCCCGCACCACACAAAGCGCTCCCAAAACCTGCCAGCTCTCTGAGCAGTGAGCGTTCCCATAGCTCCGCAGCTTCATTAACATGAAGATTAGTGCTGAGGATTGACTTGCATATCAAAAGCCCAGCAGCTCAGCTCCTCTCTGGGCCCACCTGTTTCCAGACAAAAGTTCACCGGTAGGAGCAAAGAAGCAACACACAAGATAAAGAGGCACAGCTGTTTCTGCAGAAGAGCAGTGCCAGATTCTATTTAGAAATTCTTTTGCCTGTCTCGATTTCTTGTCTTCACGCATTCTTTAGGAAAGGTTTATCATTTTCACACAGGGTGCTGAGGCACTGGCACAGGTTGCCCAAGGAGGCTGTGGATGCCCCATCCCTGCAGGCATTCAAGGCCAGGCTGGATGTGGCTCTGGGCAGCCTGGGCTGCTGGTTGGTGACCTGCACACAGAAGGGGGTTGGAGCTGAAGGAGCATTGTGGTCCTCTGCAACCCAGGCCATTCTGTGATTCTATGATCATTCTATTTCAAATGATGAACCCTGAGCAAATGGAAAACCTAAAAACTTCGAAGGAAAAAAAAAACCTGCCACTCTTCCACAAAACCTGCAGTAAGAAAACCTCAAAGAAGCAAAAAAATACAGAAGACAGTGAGAGTTCTCAAAATATTTCTCAACATACAGCACGTGTCATTCTTTAATATAGGGGGAGGAAAACATTTGCCAACTTTGGCACGATAAGGGAGGTATGATTTCACTAACCTCTCTCGGCAGCCTCACCAACATGTCCCTGCAGCGCTGCACGCATTGCGTTGCTTTCTGAAAATCCCCCTGAGCAACTGCCTAGGAAAGCAGAACGTGCCAACAATCTGTAAGTTAACTACTTGCCTCTAAAATCTGCTACAAGGTTGGTTCTCTAATCTAAAAAGACTTGGATTGCAGGCCTTTTTTGCATTCAGTACAGCCGAGTTTGAGATTAGATACCTGTCCTTACAGCGCTACAATAATTCTGTGTGTTTTTATACACTGAAAGACATCCAGGAGTGCCCTGCAGCCCTCAGGTAGTGTGAAAGGCTCAGATCCACGGCATGATTCATCCACATGTCAGATAACAGCAAATCTTGGACAGCTTAACAAGTGTTGAAACACCTCTCCAGTAATTTAAGGTCTCAATTAGAAGTTAAATGAAAAATTTTGGTCTGTTTAGGGAAGCTCCTCGTAATTTTGAAGACAGTAACCCCCTCTGCATTCTGAGATCAGTGCTGTTATCAGCAAATGGGAGCAGCTGATTTCTCTCTCATGTATACCCATATGTCTGTAACACTCTGCAGTATTGACAAAGTACTCAGAAACTTCAGTCAGGCAGCAAAAGTCAGGACAATGCCTCTGAAAACACAGAATTTCTGAATGATGTACTTTGAATTAATTTAATCTGCCCTGCTGATCCCCTACAAAACACTCAGCATATTTTCAAACTTCTCTCACGTTCAGCCAGACTTCTTTCCTTAAATCATCAATCATAATTCCTGCCTTGCTGCACAGTGACAGAGCTTGAGACTTGAAGGAAGGTTTCAAATGCCATGAACTCATTACTGCCAAACATTGCCATTTGATACCCATTCTCCTACTGTTTCAAAGCCTTTACATGTAAAAAGCAGCATGCATTGGGTCATGGAAGAGAGGGTATCCATGTATAGGAAGATTTCTATCCAATGTCAGTGAACAGCAACACTTTGATTATATTGCTCATAAAAGTCAAGAAACTTGTAAGGTAGAGCAGACTGTGGACACGTGGCCTATAATATCTGCTTGTCAGACATGAATCCTGGCTACCAACAGCACCTTCATATGTTTTTCAACCAATTTAGTTGCAAATCCAGCACAGTCTGATGAGTGCTTTGGAATGACCAATGGTGCTCTATACATGCTACACAAATGCAGCTTTGGGGACCCAGGCTCTAAGGCAGTTCTACCTGGGCAAGCACAGGTCACCTTTGGAACTGACACATGATTCAGAAAGGCAGCTGTTGTATCAACAGCCAAATTACAGAGCAGCAAATCTGAACGAGAAGATATAAACAAGGCAGCAGAAACCACTGCGATAAATCAGGCAAATTAAAACCCATTAAATTATTGCAACACCAAACTCAAACATCACATCTGATATCTTACATCTAAGCAAAGAAAATGCATCCTTCAGCAAGCCTGCAGTGCCAGGCATTCGTACACCTAATTAGCAGGTCAGAGGTTCCCCCCGTATCCCCTAGGAACTTATAAAGTAAGCAGGGAGGAACACATACTGATTCAGCCTGATAAGAGAGCACTTTGAAGAGGTCCTTCTCCACATCAGCTCTGCACACATGAATATCTGCTTCACCATCGCCCTCCTTGCGGAATTTCGCAGACAGCTTTTCTATGCTCTGGAAAACAAAGCCGAAGCGTGACCCGTGGAAGTCACAGATAGGTGTGTTTATAAAGAACTAGAACCAGAGAAGGACTTACATTCATGGCAATCTCTAAGAATTCATCAGCAAGATCAGCTTTGCCAATATCTATCCACCCTTTTCCAGTTTTCATCGACATCTGCAGGAGAAAATGATGAGTGCTTTGTGAAGATCTGGTCACTGCCAGGGCAGTGAGCCCTTAGATCCCTTCTTACTGATGTCTGTGTTATGTAGGAGAGGTATTCCAGCTCTTCAGTTTGTCACAAGTGTCTCACATACGAATGAACTCTGCTTGCAGCACAAGGCTCATGGTGCCCCACTACACAACACCATAAGACACTGAAATAAATGAACGTGCTGCTCTTCTAACATTTTAACACATGACAAAGATGTGATGCTAACTGCACTGACTCAGCAAGGCACCCCTGTGATAACACAGGCCCACCTTCAGCATGCATCTTCTCCAGAATTACAGGCATAGCTCACTCACTTTCCAAGTAACTGCAATAGGTTTTAAGGTTTCCCACACTGCTCACCTGCCCTGAGCCTTACCAAAATCTGCCTCCGAATGGTTCCCTCCGGAGGATCACTGCCTTCACAAAGGTGCACCAGCCTGCAAGCAACAAATCTCACTGCAAGAAAGTAAGGCAGATATTTCTAAGTTCCTTTTTGTTGTTGTTGAGAAAGTCAGGCCCTGCCACATCTTAAAGATGGTTTAAAATTATGAGAAAGAAACTTTTGGAAGCTTCGGAATTAAAATTTTAGTCGAGCTGCTTAAAATTGCTTTTCAGGCATCAAAAAGAAAACAAACCCACCCCAAGATACCAAGATATTCTCCTCAAAATGTCTATTAAACACTTTAGAGAGAGTTTAAGTCAAAGACACAGTATTCAAAGACTTAATTACACTGCAGGTGCTCACAGTGTCTTGAGCACCTCAAACAGCCTTCAGCAAAATAGGGAAATCAAGTTTAATAATCTTTACGTTTTCAAAGCAAAAAGCACAAGTATTTTCTGGCCTTTTTTATACACTGAGGGTAGAAAACACACCACTTAATGTATTTAAAATAGCCTCTCCCTGGCCCTTCAGCTGCGATATAAGATCTGAGAACATTATGTTCTACAACAATTACCACTTATTTTGTATAAACTTACCCTTTTCCCTTCACTTGACATCACTTACATGATGCAGATTATATTTAATTTTAACTGCTATCCCCTAAGAGAAAAATGTAGGCCAGATACTGCAGTCCTGCAGCTCCACATACAGAACTAGTTGACAGCATAGAGTGAAAGCTCACTTTGCTTTCCCCCAGCCCTAAAGCAAACCCCCAGCTGCATACAGATGGTGTGTATGGGCTGCAGCTGCTAAGGCAGGGCAGTGAAAAAAAGGATTCAGATTTTTTCTGTACATAAATACAGGTAAGAGAATCACCTCAAAAAAAAACACAACTTCACGTTTTAGAAATTGACAGTCAAAGATTTACATCAGAGTTATGTCCACACACTCACAGGCCTTAAAAAATAGCATATTAAAACAGCATAAATAAAAGTCAATGCAGAGTTTCCTTTGGAAACATCACCTCTTTATTGATGATCTGGCACAGAAGGAAGGAGTGATGCAAATACCAACACCAATTCTGTGCCACAAAGAAGATCTCTGTCACACCATGGTGATCCTCCCCAAACTCATTGTATAAGTCTAGCTGCTCAGTTTTCTGTCTATACCCTATCTGCAAATATCCAAACCAACCCACAGCACCATGTATGCACCTGGCAGCAGGGAGCTTTTCCTTTTCACACTGCAGCACAAAAACACATTTAGAAAGGAAAAGAATGCATACATACATTTAGCCCTTTGCTCATCGCTGATGACAGAACCCGTGTGTTTGGTTACAGCCCAGTTCCACAGGCTTATTGCACCCTCTTCAACCTGAGAAAGAGAATTCCATTCCATTTAATTTTGTCCCAGGATTGGATTGAATTGAGATTTACTCCTGACAAAGCTACTATCTTTCATATTAGCCACAAGTACAGGTTTGGACTATTCCTTTCTACAGGCTGGGTACTCTGAGACTTGGAAGCAGTTGGCAGGGATCACACACTCTTTTCACAAGCACATTTTATTCTCTTCTAACAGGCTATCTCCCATCTTCTGAAAATTTGAGAGTGTCTCTGAGATGAGAAAGGTAGGAAAGAACACGGCTGCAAATCAAATCATGACCTGAAACTAAAAAGAGCTAATTAATCATAAGATGGATAGCTGCAACCACATATGCCATGTCATCCATCAGTGCCTTCAGCTCCCATTTAAAGTTACACAAAACAGCAAATTCTGTTTGAGAAGTGGTGGACTTCAGAAACATTCAAATATGTTCCTAAACAAATCCCATTAATCTGTCATATTGCTGAAATAGCCTAACATATGTTTCTGTCAAGTCCTTTTCCAAGCCTAGCAAAACATGACCTGATTTACCCTTCCCATCTGGAATGAAGTTTTCTCACAAGCATTCATACATACAAAATTTGTGCAACAGCACATCGCCACATCCAAAACACAACTGATTCACTGGCAGCTTTCAGAATCCATTATGTGCATTTTAAACAGACGTTGCAAAATTAGAAGGGAATGGAAAAGAGCTGTGAGAATTGGATCAGATTTGAACATGCATCTGTAGGACTTTAACTCTTAGGGCCGTATTCATAGAATTGTTGGAGGTGGAAGGGACCCTGAAAGGCCATCTGGTCCAACTCCCTGCCCTGAGCAGGGACACCCACAGCTCCATCAGAGCCTCATCCAGCCCGGCCTTGGGTGTCTGCAGGAACGGGGCACCACCACCTCTCTGGGCACCTTGTGCCACTGCCTCACAGCCCCTATTGTAAAGAACATCTCCTCCAACCTAAATCTCCCTTCTTTTAGTTTGAAACTATTTCCCCTCATCTTATATCACAACAGACCCTGCCACAGAGTCTGTCCCCTCCTTCCTCACAGTCCCTGTAGGTACTGACAGGCTGCTCTCAGCCCTTCCTGCAGCCTTCCCTTCTTCATGCTGCACAGCCCCAGCTCTCAGCTTGTCCTCACAGGGAAGCATTCCATCCCTGGCATCACTTTTGTGGCTCTCCTCTGGACATGCTCCAACAAGCCAATGATATTAAGTAGCTTAATTATTTTAAGTACCCACACAGAGAAACTTCTGATGTTATCAGACAAAGAACAAAAGCTAGAAACTTTTGTTAAAAGATGATGCAGCCTCGCATAAAGGCAATAAGATCTGTTAAGAATGCATCCCAGAGGGCTGTGGATTTTCCATCAGTCATAGCTTATGGAAGACATGCCTACAAGCAGGCGGCTGGAAATACACCGGAATGTGACACACAGCACCCCATCCCGGACGTATCACAGCCTCATAGAGAGGGCTTGGCCCGGAATCAACGCGCCGAGTTCTCTCATTAAACACAATGCTTTGTATCGCATTCAGGCCGCTGAGTTAAAAGGTGAAAGCACCAAACTGAGAGCCCCAGACACGGGGAAGGAGAGGCGGTGCTCAGCGCCGTACCTCCGCCGCGCCGCCGTCCGCCTCGCCGAGGGCCCCCGCCGCCCGGAACAGCTCCTCAATGAGGGCCGCGATGCGGGGCGGGGCCTCCTCAACCAGCAGCTCGCGGAGCAGCTCTGGAAGACAAACCGGGAAGGGAGCAGTCAGGGGTGAGTCAGGGAGCAGCTACGCAGCCACAGCCCCCGGGCGGGGATGGAAAACGGACGCTACCTCCCGCCGCGCCCAGCCGCCCGCCCACCATGGCCGGTACCGTCCCTCAGCCCTGAGGAGACCGGCGATACGGCAGGGCGCATGCGCGACTCCCACGGCGCCGCGCTGCAGGCCGGGAGAGGAGTAACGCGGGGTGACTGGCTGCTCGGCTCGATCGCCCCGCCTTTCCGCCCCGCCTGGCCAATCAGACGGCGCGGCGGTTGGCCTGTCCGTTAGTCCGCTGGCCTGTGGGCGCCGCGCCGGTTCTGGAAGGATCCTGGGAGCACGGCCCTGCCGGGCGCGGGAGAGATGTCGGGGCTGCTTCACACCACGCTAAGCGGGCTCAACAGCGACTCCTACTGCGAGATCAGCCGTTACCGAGACCAGCACTTCCGGGTGCGCGCGGGGCGGGGGCGGCGGGGCACGATGCGGCGGGGCCCGGCCGGTTCGGGGGCTGCCGACGGGGCGGGGCCGTGAGGGCACCGCTGGTTGTGAGCCCGGCGGGGTGTGAGCCCGCCCTGTGCTCGGCTTTGCCCTCAGGGGAGCAAAAAGCTGCAGGAGAAGTTCCTGAAGATCTCCTCCACGCTGTACGTGGGCAACCTGTCCTTCTACACCACCGAAGAGCAGATCCAGGAGCTGTTCTCCAAGTGCGGCGATGTCAAGAGGATCGTCATGGGGCTGGACAAGATCAAGAAAACACCCTGCGGCTTCTGCTTTGTGGAGTATCCTTTCTGATCCCTACTTGCAGTAAGCTCAGCTGTCAGAAGCCCTGAAAGGCGTGAAACTCACAGGGCTTCCTTCCAGGCACGTTGCTGCCTGCGTTCCCATCACCACCCAAATCGTACTGTGCTGCCATGGGTGAAGGTCCTGCGTGGATGCTGAGCCCTTGTGTGGCCCAAGCTAAGGGCACGTGTTTGTGTTCTCACCTTGGCTTCACACCTGCAGAACCAGCAGAGCGATCTGTGGCGCTGCTCCCAAGCGCAGGGAATGCGTTTGTGCACGCTGTGCTGTGAGCTGTCCCCGCAGAGCTCTCCTGGTGCCTCCTGCTCAAATTCAGTTGAGTTTAATATCGTATAAAAAAGCATCAGATTTCTTGCCCTTAGCGAGGTTCTAACAATTTGTTTTATCTACTTGTGAAATAAGTGATCCAAAGCTATTTCTTGTCTGTACAGGTAGCAACATTACAGTCAGAACCTGAGGAAGGAGAGGGAACTGTTTTAAGCGTGGATTTATACGAGTGCAGCTTTTTGATCCCATAGAAAAGAGCAGGAAAAGTAGCAAGGGCTGGAAGGCAGGGAAGGCTCTTCTGCTTAAGTACAATGGTTTGTTATTGTTTCTTTTTTTTCCCCGCAGCCAACAAAACAGCAGGTTTAGTTCTCCTTACAGTGTGTTTCAGATATTACACGAGAGCAGATGCTGAACACGCAATGCGATTTATCAATGGCACGCGGCTCGACGACCGCATCGTTCGGACAGACTGGGATGCAGGATTCAAGGAGGGACGGCAGTATGGAAGAGGGAAGACTGGTGGGCAGGTAAAGGCAATAGCAGCTCAGACCTCGAATGCAGTCCCCCTAGGGCAGTCCTGTTTTGCTCGTTTTGTCTCATGCAGAACAAAGCGCAGACGGTAAGGAGCCAGCAATGAATTTTAGGTGATTTTGGTAGCCAGTGCTACCTTGGTATTAAGATCTGGAAGTGTAACTATGGTTACAACTGGACAGGATCCCACAATTCCTGACAGTACAAGCAGGATTTTCCTTGTTCCAGGCTAGCGCTCTTTAAATGATGCAGACTTTGAATGGAAAGGGAGCGCAACTTCTAGATCAATCTCATGATCCATCAGTTTGCACTGTGAGAAGCTAGATTTCCCTTGCAGATTTCTGGAGGGCTGGGGAAGGGAGAAATGCTTTGGAGGCCAAGCCTAGTAATTCAGAAGGTTGGAAGCTGGATGACAAAGCTGAATCAAAATATTTGGGGATCTTTGGTTCCCTTCTAAAAAGTCATCAGCCAGCAGATGTATCTTCATTTGTCACTTGCACCATCTGTCTGGTGGATTGTTTGAAGGGATTTCAAACTACTTCTCACCTGAACTTCATTTCTCAACCTACTGAGCAAGGAAATGGTGATGACTGTGAAGCCTAGCATGGTGCTAACGCCTGTGTTACTGCCTTGCTCCAGGTGCGAGATGAATACCGGACAGACTACGATGTGGGAAGAGGCGGTTTTGGCAAGATTATACAGATGCAGAAGGCAAATCAACAGCCTGCAGTCTATTAATTGCCTCATGGGTGTTAGCTCATAGAGGGCTCTGCTCTTCTTGAGCTAGCCGTGTTCTCGCGTTTTGGATTGGGGTAGGGAGTGAGATCCAAGTTCCAGCCAAAGGTGACCCTCCTTAGACTGTGGATATACATGTGTTCATTCCCCCTTTCTTCTGGGTTAGAGAGGATGTTCTGTGCTGATACAGGGCAACAAGGGAAACAAATGGACAACTGCAGGATTCTGGTAAGAAGAAATGCAGCATGTCACACGCACCTCATGCTAGGATGCATTCTGCATTACAGCTAAGCAGTTGGCTTCTTCCGAGCCAGGATTGCAGCTGTGGTTGCTCTCAGATAAAACTTTGTGAACAGTGCCATTGTTGGAGCCCTCTGGGTGCCCGGGCACTTTGTTGGGATGCACAGAACTTTCAGAGTTCTAATTTACAAGCTCATCTGCTTACAAAGCAGTATCACTATTTGTGTGAGAGAAGCTGAGCAAGGTCTTGCTGTCCACTTGGAGGTGCTTGCCTGTACATCTAGCCCTTGGGTTGGTCATGGCCTGCAGAGCCTTTCTCTTTATGATGCCCCAGTGCTGCCTGCTTTTTCAGATCCTCACTGTTTGGCATGATTTTGTTAAAAGTTTCTTTCAATTTTTTAAATAAACAGTGAGTCCTGTACCTGTTGCAATCTGTTCATCAAAACCTCTGGCTCCATGACAAGAGCTGGAGGGAACATTTCCTGATGGTATTTTAAAGTTGCTGTCACTTGCAAACACAAAATGGAGAGCATACTGAAGGAGGGCACAAGTCTTGCTGTATTTCTGTTGGCTTCCCTCTTACTACTGGCTTTCCCTCTTCTGCTTTGCAATAGCTGATGGCTGATATCAGAGGGAAACTGCTTATAAAGAGTATAGCTGCTCTGAATAAGAAATCCTTACATTTCATACCAACAGATTCCGGGAAAGCTTGTGATCTTGTCAATTGTTCCACAGTGTGAAACGTACATGAAGCAATACAAAAGTGTGATGTGCATTTCAGAGAAGAAGGAACCAGAAACTCCCTTCCCTGTGTTCATGACAGACTTTCTTCCCCATTTAGGAGAAGCATGGCTGATACTCTTACATTTTTCCTAGGTCCAAGCAAGGGACCAGAGAAGATTAAAACCTCCACTGATCCGTCCCCCAAAACCTCCCAGCCAGGGTTAGTGATTCCATTGGACAAATTAAATTCTGACTAATTTGGTTTAGTATGATGTCAATAATAGTAGCTGCTCCTTGTCCAGTAGCATGTAATCACAATTGTTCATGGGCTGTCTCATCCAAGATAATACGTACTGTCATGTTGCACACCCATGTGTAGACCAGGCATTATCATTTAAATTACTTTAACTCTCACATTACTGAGGAGGATGGGATGGTAGCATTAATGTCCTGAAACGTCTCCTACTTGCTTGTTTTGCAAGTCAGGTTGCTGCATTCTGACAGCTGTCACAAGTCCTGAAGGAGCTGCATGTTTAGACCTCACCTGACTGAAGAAATGACAGAGTTGACAAGTCTGTGATACGAGCTGCCCCCTGAGATGCAGGGAAAAGGAGCAGGATGCTGAATTTAAAGGGAAGAATCTAAGCAGTTGTCTGCCCAGCCTGGCAAAGCAGCATCACATGAGGTCCTTTGGGGGGATATGGATTACACAGAAAAATTGCTTGGGCAAACAGCTAGCAGAAGATGAGAGAAAAACAGGGAAATCTGCTGTGAAACTCTTCTGGTAGCAACAGAATCTCATTTATATGAGGTACGGAGACAAGGCAAGCTCTGGGTTTGCCCCTGATATGCCCTGTTGGTCATGTAGTTCCTACGTGTGTGACAGAACATGCAGAAATCTGTTCAGTCGAGCAGCTGCGTGGGCTGTTCCATGATTGTGGCAGGCATGTCTGTCCCTGCTTCCCAAAACACTGCAATTTCTTCTCTGCACAGGTCTGCTTGTCCTGCTCATCTTTGCCTGGAGGGAGATACCTCCCTTCTCCAGCAGGTCCCAGACCAGTGTTGGCAAGCTGTGCACCGTTCCCCTTTCGGCGTAACGTTTGCAAAGAGATTTGTGCTGACATTTATTCAAATACACGTATTTGCTTAAAAGAATCCATCTCAAATACTACAGCTGCTGTAAATGCCTTCCTTCTAAAGCCACCCATCCCACAGAGAATTAAAGAGAGATGAGAAGGTTTACGAGTAAGTAGGCAATCCCAGCTCTTAGCCTGGGCTGCAGCACGTAGGTACCTACATGGCACCACACTGCAGCAGTCAGAAGAGCCACCCTTGCCAGGGGTGTGATCAAAGACCAGCACTGCCAGCATGCTGGAGCAGCCCCTCCTGCCCTGGCTGCACTCCTTGCTGGAGCACTGTGCCCAAAAACCTCAGGCTCCAGGGTTGCTTTTCAGGCATCTTTCATCAGGCACACAAAGGCACCATTAGAAGAAAAAGTGCTTTGTCCTCACAGAACTGGGGCAGTGCCGAGCAGGGCAGCACAGCCAGCAAACCGAGACACCTGAAGTGACCCAAGGGAAACAGCGCAGCTGGGAACAGGCATGCAGTGACCGACTCTAAGAGCTGCTAGCAGTTAACCTGCTGCAGGTAGCAGCCCGGACCTGACTCTCTAGCAAAGAAGTCTGATGCTGAGTTCACCACAAGAGCGTACACGCTCTTCAGGCTTAGCTGAGTCTCTCCGCTGGATCCCGTGTGTGTTGCAGAGACCCTATCACTCCGGGACAGAATTAAGTTTAGCAGCGGAGCAGTTCTGGCAGGCAATGCTCCTCCTCACACTCATTCTCACTCACAACACCACACTCAGAGCCATCTGCACTGGGGAGGGGAAGAGGAAGGCTCCGGTTCTCATTCATTCTGGCAGCTTTTATAGTCCCCTCTGATCCAATAACAAATCTGAGCAAACTTGGGAGCAGTCAGGCGAACAGCAACGTTGTAGTCGTGCTGCTCCCCCCCCACTTCCAGCCACTGATGCCCAGAGAAGACGCCGATCACCTTCCTCTCCCACTTGTGCCGCACGGGATCCCACACCTTGCCATACACCCCAGAGCCGGATGCGCCAGGCCTGGCATCGCAGTGCTGGTAGATGAGATGCGTCGTCTCATCTTCCACCCCACAGAAGCGGTACACCAGCTCTCCCGGCCGGTCGCTGTCAAACCCTGAGAAATGAATCCTCTTCCCAGCCATTTCTTCCGCTGCCGGAGCCACCGTCAGCTCCATGTGCGGGCGCCGGTGTGGTCTGTGCAGCTCCAAAAGGGCGTAATCGTAGTCCATGCTGACCGAGTTGAGGCTTTGGATCCAACCCTTGGGCACCTGCGTGCGCCGCACACGAGCCCAGCGCATCGCCGGCCTCCCCGTGCCATTGGCTGGCATCAGGAAGCCCACCTTGATCCTCCTGGCACCCTTCACGTAGTCTCGGCCATCGTGGACACAGTGGGCAGCCGTGAGGACGTGCTGCTCGGACACCAGCACCCCCGTGCACCCCGTGGAGATCTTAACAGTGGTGGAGAAGGGGAAATCCATCAGGAAGTGGTTCCCACTGATGGAAAACCGCCCATCCGTGCCGTAAATCTGTCGCTTGCGCCGCATGCGCCTCCTCGGCCACCTCCTGTCCGTGCTGCTCTCACCGGGGCTCAGCTCCACCGTGGTGAGAGTGCGGGTGCCGTTGGCGTACAGTGTCTCATAGAAGAGGTACTCCTGGAAGTCCTGGGGCAGCAGGGCGGCCTCCCTGCGGACACACGCCTGGTCACAGCGTGTAGCCAAATCCAGCACGGGCCGGGCCGAGAACCGCGCTCTGCCCAGCTGCACCGTGGACCGGGGAACGAGGGTGGGAAGCGAACTTCCAGCTGCGGTCCTGGGAAGGAAGGAAAGCAGGAGGATGGCAACCACCTGGCAGCGAGTCATCTTTCCGGACCTGCAAAGGCAAAGCAAGGAGACCATTAAGCCTGCCCGATTAGAGCCAGCCACCTGCTGCAGCTCACGGCTGGGGGATTATCACATGCACGTGGCCCCTCACCAGCTGCTGGGTCGTGCATGCTTAAGCTGCTGCCTGGAGCTGTGTGACTAACTAAAGATGATAGAAATCTACCCCAGCCTTTGATCTCCCGCAGCTCTTTAGGATGGCAATGCCCGGCGGTGCTGCAGGAGTACTGCAGGAATACCACGAGTGGATGAGTTTCCTCCGTCAAGCCGCAAGTCCTGCTGCTCTGACTTGGATCTCCTGGATTCCAGGGCTCAGCCCCGCCAACACCACACGTCCCACCCAGCAGCTGCAGCACCCGGTGACCCGCGGGGAGGATGAGGAGGTGTGACAGTACCTGCTGCCTGCAGAGGGAGACGACAGCTCTGTCCCCCTGTTCCTACAGGGGAGAGGAAGGTGCATGAGTTCCAGGGCTACACCTCAGCTGAAGTATTTGGTGTCACAGTGCGGCGAGGACAAGGCAGCCTGTGTTAACTCCAAGGTGGATTGCTGCACCCCATGTGCCAGGGCCACCCCTTGTCCATGGGGCAGGCTCTACAGCCCCAGCTCCCTGCACTGCTCAGCCCTCTGCTCCCATCCTGCCATCAGCGTACACAGTTGGACATATCAGCCGGAGCACAGGATGAGCCCTGTGTCCCCCAAGGCAGCCGGGGTCTGTGCAGACACGTGGCAGCACGCTGGGTTATGAAAGTCGCACAGCAGTGGGGGTGGAGCTTTGCAGGGAGGCTGAGAGCCACCAGCTCTGCTCTCCACACCCTGACCCCTCGTGCTGCAGCTGGGCCTCATCCCCAATTTCCCCAACCACTGCCCCTGCAGGGCTCATCCAGCAGAGCCATGCTCCAGGGAAGCCCCACAGCCGTCCCTGGCGTTAATGAGCCAAGGTTCATGCCTTCACCCAAAAAGGAGCATCTCCGCAGCTCCCTTCCATGTGACGGAGCACCACGTCCCTATAGAAGGATCTCAGTCCCTATAGAAGGATCTCCTCTGGCGAGGCAGCAGTTAAAGCAGCAGGAGCAGCATTTCCCTAGGGCTTTCAGCTTGCTCAGGCTCCAGGGCCTCATTGCTGCCTCTCCAGCGATCTGCTGGCTGGATAAGGAGGTGGAGGTCTGTTTCATGCTGCCCTGGGGCTGGAACAGCATTGCCCACGTGAGCAAGTGTGGGCACTGCCGTGCTCATGGACGTGCACATGGATGTGGGGTGCAGTGGGGTGACAGCCCCTCTCCTCCCCGCAGAGCCGTGGGGCCGAGCCGTGGGGCCCTCCCTGCTGGCCGAGCGCTGACCCTGCTCTGCTGCCAGGAAACGCCAAACCCACGTAAGATCCATCTGCCCTAAATTAGTTTATTTATTTCACAAAATAATCTGTCAGGGCTGATTGAGACCAGGCCGGAATCTGGGAAATCGTCTTCGGCCCAGTTCCTGGCTGTGCCTCCCCCGCAGGCCCAGCGGGAGCCCCAGGGGCTATTTCTGAGGTCTTTACAGCAGCACTGGGTCGTGATGACACACTGTCATGTGGCACAGGGCCCAGCCCACTGCTATCCCACACCCCAGGACCAGGAGTAGGGGGCTGGGTGCCCCACAGCACTGTTTCCCATCAGCATGTGCCCATAGAGATGCAAGGACAGCCCCAGCCCCCCAGCCCAGGCTGCAGGACACAGGCATTGAAGTGAGATGCAGCTGGACCAACACAGAGCCAAGCAGTTTAAAAAACAACAACCACAAACCATTTAGACTTCAATAAGTATAAAAATCAACACCGAAATTCCAATTGTACCAAGGCATACAAGGTTGGACACTCATGTCTACACTGCAGACATCATCACAAGGAGCTGAGTGTGATGTTCACACCAAGCGAATGGGTCCAGCAGCACAGGGCTCAGCACAGGCATGGATTCTATTGGGGCTGTGGGTGCTGAGCCCTGTGCTGCTGTAGGGCACTGGGCAGTACCAGGACTGGTCAACTTCAGTCACGCTTGCATTGACACAAATACAACAGTACCACCACGTGTCCCGTGGGCAGGAGAAGCAGGATGTGACAGCAGCTTTCACACTGGGAGGGCCGTATCGGTGTCATTGCCCCTCGGCGGGGTGGAGCAGCCCCCGGGCCACCAGCATTCCCCCAGCCCGGGGTCTCCTCTCCACGACCCCTGCTCAGCGAGGGGAAAGGGCAGCGCACGGCAGACTCTGGGCTCAGGCCCCAAGGGATGGCTGTGCTGAGCAGTCTGTGGTCTCGTACCAGCACTGCAGTACTGACAGTCCTCCGAGTAGTGATGTTGATCACAACCACCGCCTCTCTCAGATTGCAGCAGCTCCAGGGCTGAGCTCCATCCCGGGGTGATGTAGAGGGTTTTCTGTCGTGGAACCTCGAAGCTCTTTTGCATTTTTCCCTTCCACGCTGTTCCGAATGCCATAACCAAAGTATATCATAAAACCTGCAAAAGTTCATGCGATGAGACACATGGCAGGGAACGGCCTCCCCGGGCCACCAACAGACAGAAGCTGGAGAAATGAGATACCCACAAGGCTCGGGGCACCACACTGCCCTCTGGAACACCTACCCACAGCCATCCAGATGGCAAAGCGCACCCAGGTGCCGGTACTCAGCTGCACCATCAGCAGGATGTTAACAAAGATGCTGCAGAGTGGAAGGAGTGGGAGGAAAGGTACCTGCGAGAGACAAGATGTGCCACCTTAGCCATGCCCAAGGGATCTGGCTAGGTGACGGAATGCTCTGCCACCTGGGTGCTTCCATTCCAAGGGCAGTGCCTTAGAGCCGTGTCTCTGGGCTCCAGACAATACTGGGTGGTGGAAGCCCAGCAGCCAGCCCAGCAGATCCCGCACCAGCCTTGGGTGCAGAGAGGAGCAGAGCTCTTGGAGGCTGCACTCACCTTGAAGTTCAGCCGCGCATTGCTCTGTGGCTGCCTCCAAACGATGATGGTGGGGATGAGCAGAGCCACGAGGAGCAGCACCAGGACCAAGATCCAGGTAATGCTGGCCTCCTTCAGAGCCTTCACTTTGAGGGTCAGCACCACGCAGATGATCGTTACCAGCACAGCTGCAAGAGAAGAGCCCATCACCATGCTGCACAGCACGTGGCTGTATTGACCTCCCTGCCACCCTGTGGGCTGCTGGGCTGAGCCACCCCCTCCTCCTGGTCACATGCAGGTCCTCCAACACCCACCCCAAAGCACTGGGGAAGCACTTTGCCAGGAGGAGCTCATCAGCCTGGCAAGCAGAGTGAAGCCCGTGCTCAGCTGGGCTCAAACCCAGTTCTGGCGCTTCCCCAGACCTTACTGGGCTGCCCTGCTCTGCCTGCACAATGAAACCATTGATCAAAGCTCCCCAAGTCTGCAGGGACCAACACGCCCCAGCCCCTGGCACAGCAAGGAGCCAGCGATGTGGCAGGACATGCAGGAGCCGCTGCCTCCCACTCACTCACCCATGATTGAGACGCAGACGTAGACGATGCGCCCTGAGAGCGCTGTGGGAATGTCTGCAGATGGCTTGAAGAGTGCTGTAAGGGACAGGGTCTCCTTCTGTTTGGTGCCCGTGGCAGCGATGTTTGGGTTCATGACAACTCTCTCCTCCTCATTCCCGTTCAGCTCCAGCATCTCCATGGCCTTTGGGGAGTTCAGTTGCCCAGACTGGTACCTGCACACAGCAGATCTGCTCAGTGCTGCATGAACTACAGCAAAGTATGAAAAGTAAGTTCCAACCCCAGGGATACAGTAGCACCCATCGTTCCCCTCCTGCTCCCTCCAAACCCCTGCTGGGAAGCACCAGTCCCATGGATGGCACAGCTGCCCAGGGGGTGGTAGGGTCACCATCCCTGGAGGTGTTCCAGAATCATGGAAACGTGGCACTGAGGGACACAGTGATGGTCATGGTGAGGTGGGTTGGGGTTGGACTTGGAGATCTTAGCTTTTTTTTTTCCAACCTCAATGATTTTATGGTGTGCCTGGATGCCCCAAGCAGCTTTATTTCATGGCTTGAGCCGTGGCAGCAAGCCCCACGCTGTCTACAAGGTGCATCCACCCAAGGGACCGTGGTGAAGGGACACTTGGCATAAGAGGTGGCACCCACCGGAGGATGAGCACACACACAGCGACCAGGGAGTAAGCCAGCAGTGTGCCGATCGACATGAGGTCCACCAGGTCTTTCAGGTCAAGCAGGAAGGCCAACACCGCTGCAACGAGGATGGAAAGCATGAGCACAGCCCTGGGCTGCAGGGCGATTGAGAGCACGATGGCCATGAGGAGTGTCACCTGCGAGCAGCCCTGAGGTGATGGTGGCCGAGAGAGGAGTCTTGGTGCGGCTGTTGATTCTGGAGAGGAATTTGAAGAGCAGCCCGTCCTCTGCCATGGCGTAGATCACACGTGGCATGGGAAACATGGAGCCCAGCAAGCTGCCGTGGGGAGAAGTGGCTCAGAGCTGGCCAGAGGGCCAGCAGTTATGAGGGGAAGGAACTGGCTTGTGCCAGGGAAGGATGGAAGTCACACAGGGCAAAGCCTGGGACAGGTATCCCCAGCCCTGTGCCAGGCCGGGTGATGCCACAAAGAGAAGTTGGACCTACCTGGTGGAGAGTGCACAGAGCGAGCCAATGGCAACAGCATAGCGGGCGGGCTCCCAGCCCACCGCCTTGAAAGCCTCGGGCAGCGGGCTCTTCTTGTTCAGCAGGAAGTAGGGAACCATCAGCGTGAGGGCTGCAGAGACCCCGAAATAGGCCACGAAGCAGATGAGGAGGGACACAATGATGCCGATGGGGATGGAGCGCTGCGGGTTCCTGGCTTCCTCCCCTATGTGGAGGAAAGAGGCAGAGTCCGTCCCCATCCATACTTGCGGCCGTGCCCAGCCCCACACCCCAGCCTGCAGCTCCTGGTAAGTCCAGCTCTCTGCATAAGCACTGGTGTAGCAATGCAGCAATGCACCCTCGGTGCCCTCTGCCTTGAGCTTTTCTCCTTGCAGCACTGCACTCCCCACCAGAGGCTCTGCAGCCAGCGGAGGAGGCTGCAGGGAGGCACAGAGGCTGTGCAGAACAGCCTGTACCAGCAACCCGCTGAGCAGTCCTGGGGGAAGGAGAGGAAATGAAGAGGGCTCCCCGCACACCAGAGCAACTAAGTTCATGCAGAACCGACATTTTAAGAAAAAATCTAATATTGCTTGAGGCCAGGAAATAAGCAGAAGCAGCAGCAATTCCCAGCACTGGGCTCTGCAGCTGGAAGGCTCCCTGCAGCTCTGTTCTCACCACACCTCACAGGGAGCCTTTGATATGGGCAGCCGAGGCGCTTTGTGCAGTGCAGCTGGGGCCGGGCTGTTCCCACAGCAGCAGGGAGCACCGCGCTCCTCCCCGAGCAGCTCCAGCAGCTGCCCCGCTCCGGGCATTCCCTACCTGTGGTGGCGATGCAGTCGAAACCCACGAAGGCGTAGAAACACGTGGCAGCACCCATCAGGACCCCTTCCAGCTTAAAGGGGACAAACCCACCGGAGCCAAAGGCTTTTATTCTGGAAGAAGGGAGGACAGCAGCTGGGACATCAACACACAACACGGTACCAGCCTTGTGCCACGCAGCGCTAGCCAGGCTCCGTCGTGGCACACTCACTATCCTCACCTGACCTCCTCCGGCTCATCGGAGTGCGTGA